TCATCTTGGATCAGAGAGCTTCTTCACTGGGCATTATATCAATTCCCCATCCCATGACAGACCAGAAGAATGAAGCTAGATTGTGTTGTCTCATGATGCTATTTTTTTGGCTTAGTCAGTGACTTCCATGTCGCTTGTGGGTCTTTGGCCTTCAAAGATTGGTGGGACCGAGAACTTCGAAAAGACTGTTTCCTTTGCCCTCCTCATTTCTAACCCGCAGGGGACAGACGAGCATATAGTCCATTTTTGCCTCTCCCCACCCCCTTCAAACAGAGCCCCTCTTCCAACCCAAACCCATCAGCGTTGGCTTTAAGAAGTGTCGAATAATCTGCCTTCGGAGCCTGTGTCATCTGTCTCGCCAATGCCTCGTTGGCTTTGCATACGCCACCTTTTCCATAAACCCCTCTAGTGACCGAAACGTTATTAATCACTCAGCCCCTGTAGGCAGGAGAACGGAGACAGACAGCTGCAGGAAAAAAAAAAAGGGGGTGGGGGGAGGAAATTAACAGAAAAAAACGAGTGCAGAGGCTTTTATTCTGAAACAACCTTGGCTTGGCTGTTTGCTTTTGTTGGATCTGCTGCTAAGCTGACATTTCTTTGCTTGGGAGGGTTGGGTATAAGATTTCTCTGCCAATCAGGAGCCGAGAGATTGGGGCATGGAGGTGTCTGAGCTCCAGGGAAGTTTGTCTTGCCTTTAAGTGGGGCGGGGAGGGGAAGGGAAGAGAAAAGGGGTGGGGTGGGGTGGATGGAGGTCCTGCTAGGATCGCTTGGAAGCACGTTGAAGCTTGGGAAAGAGATTGGGTGGCCATTGCCAAAAAAAAAAATTGCTTCTTGGTTTGGTTTTCCGTGCATGAGGAAGACTCCATGAGTCTTGGGTTGAGTTTTTTTTTTCATGGTTCTGGTTTGGTGTGCATTAACCTTCATCTCTGGGGCTGGATCCAGAAAGGAAAGGAGATTCCCTTGGAGTTAAAGCAAGGTGATTGCTCCCCCCTCCCTGAAATGCTTTAAAAAAAACTTGACGGAAAACAATTGGTGGATGGGCTTCTTGCGAGACAAAGAGCCAACGGGGGTGGTGGGTGGGGAAGAGCACTTCCGACCCCCAGCTGTTGAGTTTTGGGGCTCAACCGAGAGAGTTCTAAAAGAGGGAAGGGGGAAAAAAACGCAGGGATGTTTTGGTGAAGATCCATAAGGTTCACAACAGAAGAGAGAGAGAGAGAGAGGAAGAGAGAGAGAGAGGGAGAGAGAGAGAGGGAGAGGGAGAGAAAGAGAGAGAGAGAGAGAGAGAGGAAGAGAGAGAGAGAGAGAGGGAGGGAGGGAGAGAGGCCTTGTAAAGGTTGAGCTTTGGATGTTAGCCTTGCTCCCTGAGAGTTAAAAAAACGAGGCCCCAAGAGCCAAACAGTTACTCAGAGAAACGGTGGGCTCCCCTTTGGTCGAAGGGGTAAAGGCGGCCATCTGGATCGCTTTATCGGGGATGAGCCCATGCTAAGTTCGGCATTTGGTGGGTTTTCTTGCACGACGGAAGTGACCAAGGAACAAGAGATGTCGTGTCCCACCAAAGAACATCTTTTGGTTGGTTTCTGTGATGTAGTAAATTAAGAAGGTCTTCAACCAAGGTTTTTGAAGGCCCAAGGACAGTTGGGGAATTTAGAATATGGACCGGTTAAAAGAATCTTCAAGGGGGAAAAAAAAAAAAAAAGATAAGATATGTGACACTTGGCGAACTTAAAATCCATCCTCAAGTTCGGTCTTGACTCTGGAGAGGAGTTGCTTGGTTTCAACCTTGAGTTTTGAAAGCTTTTTAAGGCTTGTCCTGCTTTTCAGGTCTCTTCTCTTGAATTCCTATTCTAGCTTAATGGAATTTATTTAAAAACCATATCGCCCCCGAGACAAAAAAAAAAATGGGTTCATTTTGATGATGGGGCTGGCCAGGTTTTTTTTTTTTTTTTTTTAAACTAAACTAAAAAAAAAACATTTGTTCTTTGTGTATCCTCAAAACATATTCTGGAAATGCTGGGGTTGAGTGGTGCTGGAGCCCATGAGTTTAATTCTGATTTTTAGAAGACAGAATCTTTCTTTACGATAGTCGTGCTTTAATTCTGGCTTGGATCTTTCTAATCCCACCCCTTTAACATTCATGACCTCATCTAAATATTGCCTGAGTTTCTTAAGAATGAATTTGCAAACGCATTTACGTTGCTGTGGATGATCCATCCTATGAGATATGACTTACGTGCTGCTGAGCTATGACTTATGTGTGAATCTCTTCTTAAAAACTTCCAATGTTGGAGCATTCACAACTTCTGGAGGCAAGTTGTTCCACTGATTCATTGTTCTAACAGTCAAGAAATTTCTCCTTAGTTCTAGGTTGCTTCTCTCCTTGATTACTTTCCACCCATTGCTTCTTGTCCTGCCTTCGGGTGCTTTGGAGAATAGCTTGACTCCCTCTTCTTTGGGGCAGCCCCTGAGATATTGGAAGACTGCTATCCTGTCTCCCCTAGTCCTTCTCTTCATTAAACTAGACATACCCAGTTCCTACAAGCGTTCTTCATATGTTTCAGCCTTCAGTCCCCTAATCATCTTTGTTGCTCTTCTCTGCACTCTTTCTAGAGTCTCCACATCTTTTTTTACAACATTTATTTTTGAAAAAGCATCTTTGGGACTGGATCCCTGGATGTTGTTTTGAGACAAATCTCTGCTATATCCAGAGGTAGAGGGTTGCAAGCTTGCCTTTTCCATTAGATTTTTATGCCCAATCATAAAGTCAAGGAAGCAGGACTGGGGGAAAAAAAAATCCATACGATTCAGCCAAGTGCTTTCAGATATATCTAAGGCAACAGGGTAAGAGTAACCAGTACGTACTGGTTGCAACAAACCTTTTGGGACAGAAGTAGGTCAAAAGGAATGTTATTGGATTCAGAACATTCAGTCATGAAATTCTTGAAAGTATGCAACCCGTACATACCCAACGAGATGCGGAAACCTCTTTTTGATTCTTCCAATCCAGAGATTTCGCAGTTACGTCCGGTCAATGTTCTCCTTTCTTTTCCAAATCAGAACATTTCGTCTTTTTTTTTTTTGAATTTTTATTTTTTTTTAATTTCTCATAAACATGTCTTAAATGTACAGTCTCTTACCCATTGTTAATCATACATATTCTCTTAACTTTCATATTAGTTCATTCTTCATCCTAAAAAAATTGAGTATAACTCAGGGTTGCTCTTCTACCATTCCATCTCCTTTATTTTACAACAACCCTTCCTCTCCTTCTCTCTTTCCCTTCCCTCCCTTCTTCTATCCTCTTCTACTTTCTTCTTTCCTCCTTTCCTTCCCCTCCTCTCCTTCCCCTTCCTTTCCCCTACTCCTCCCTTCTTCCTCCCTTTCTAACCTTCTCTCCTACTCTAATTTCCCCTCCCTTTCCTCCTCTCCTTTTCCCTTTCTTCTGTTCCTCTCTCTCCTTCCACTCTTCTCCCCTCTATCTATCTATCTATCTATCTATCTATCTATCTATCTATCTATCCCTCTACTTCTCTTTCCATTCTCTCTCCATTTTTGCATTCATTTTCAATTCGATATTTTCCAAAGTGGTATCCGAGCAACCCCAATTTTCTATTTATATACACTTTCTTTTCAATTTCTTTTCTGTTTTACTGATTTCACACATATCATCATAAATGTACATTTATATAGTAACATATTAGAACATTTCGTCTTATTCCAAAGTTGAAACTTAACGGGAGAAATGGTTGAGGCCCACTAACCCATGGGGTTGGGGAGGGGAGATGGGATGGTGGAAATCGAGATTTAGTTACCAGGGTAAAAAAAAAAAAAAAAGTGTTTTCCTGAATTTTGCTAGAACTGTGGAAGTCCTCACTTCCCACACCCTTTTTGCACATTCGATTTCATAGAGGGAGATTGGAGTGCTCGACTGATGCTTCCATTTGATGGCACGTTTTTTGAGTGGAAACAATTTCCACTCAATTTCTAAACAATTGGTTTGGAAATCTGGGGCGCATGCCTTCCAATTCGAATAGAATAGAATAGAATAGAATAGAATAGAATAGAATAGAATAGAATAGAATAGAATAGAATAGAATAGAATAGAATAGAATTTTTTCTTGGCCAAGTGTGATTGGACACACAAGGAATTTGTCTTGGTGCATATGCTCTCAGTGTACATAAAAGAAAAGATACGTTCTTCAAGAATCATAAGGTACAACACTTAATGATAGTCATAGGGAACAAATAAGCAATCAGGAAACAATATCAATATAAATCGTAAGGATACCAGCAACAAAGTTACAGTCATGCAGTCATAAGTGGGAGGAGATGGGTGGTGGGAACGTTGAGAAGATGAATAGTAGTGCAGACTTAGTAACTAATTTGACAGTGTTGAGGGAATTATTTGTTTAGCAGAGTGATGGCCTTCGGGAAAAAAACTGTCCTTTTACAATTTTACAAAGGAATAAATCTCCCCCACCCCCCAAGTTTTTTATTTTTTACAAACATATCAGTGCGTGAATAGTGTGGCACCCGAGTGTCATACATTCTAATACGAATAAAACTAGTAGAATTAATCATGGTTATTACATACAATCAAGTTTTACATTTCTATTCATTATACACATTTATATTAAGTTGCAGTCTGCCATTATCCAATTATTCCTTGTTTTCTTGTTATTGCTTTTATTTTATTATATACAAGTGTAAACGCTAATATTCCCCCTTCTTGTATTTTTATCTCTTATTCTAACTTTTAATCATGTCACCCTTTATTTAAAAAAAAACAAACCATTTTCTTTCTGTCCTACCTAACTTCTAGTCATGTCACCTACCTGAAAATGAATAAATCTTTTGAAGTCCAGGCTGTCCACTTCCTTTCTTGGTGAATCGTGGGGATTAAAATGCTTCTTGGTCAGCAGTGCTTCTTAAACCCAAACACTGCTTATTTGTTTGTTTAAATTCCCTATTTCTCAACCTTTCTCTCCCCTTCTTCCGTTTAGCAAGCTCTGATGAGTAAGGGAGAGACCAGACGAGAAGGCTGCATGAAGACGGAGCTGTTGAAAGACATCACCAACAATAAGGAAGAAGGTGAGTCCCATCTTTTAAATCCAGGGTGTCCTCTTCCTTTCTTGCGTACGGAGAACAATGAACCTCACCATTGGACTGCCACGGATTCTCTAGCTCCAGTTAAAACGTTATCAGGGAAAGCATAACCTCAAATCCTTTCTAAAGATTACAACAGCCGAGTTGTGTTCTCTTCCAGATCTCTAAAAGTTACAGTTGGGTATAAATCAGTGGTGGGTTTCACTTTTTGTTACCACCGATTTGCCCCACGTGCCTGCCATGCATGCGCCCGGCCTTCTGTGCATATGCGTTGCTCGTGCGCGCACCTTCCGTGATGCGCCCGACCTCAAAAACATCCCTAAATAGGACAACATAGAGCCGGCCGCGATTTCCGCTACCGGTTCGCCAAAACCAGCTGAATACCACCTCTGGTATAAATGCCAGCATTCTCCTTGGTCTTCTTCTGATTTGGATCCAGGCCTAGATAAAAATCTAGCAAAATCTTCTTGCTCTAGATCTGAGACTCTCGGTTAATTCTCAGCAAGTGGAACAACTTGCCTCCAGAAGTTGATGGTGCTCCAACAGTGGAAGTTTTAAAGAGGAGTTTGGACATTTGTCTGAAATAGTATTGATTTCCTGCGTGGGCTAGAAGACTCTATTATATTCTGTATTCAGTCTTTGCTGTCAGTCACATAGAATATAATCCTTTTAGGAGTAAATTCTCTGATCTCTATTGTGGTGTTAAAAATGTAACTCAGTTAACAGCCTGATTCATTGGCTGCTGTGTTTCTCTGTAGATTTTTGCTACAGGTTGTAGATGCAGGAACTGCAAAGAACTTCTGTCTTTCAAAGAATGGACTTTGGGACTTAGGTGTGAATCAGACCAGAACAACACCATCAGACATTGGCTTAGAGTGACACGTAAAGCTGAGTTAACTTTCATTAATGAAACATCTCACTAGGTCCCCGTGTACTATTACAGGCCCAACTACTTGCATTAATAATACCAGCTGGCATTATGAACCTTTGCCCTTACAATGAGATGCTGTAGGAGAAGAGCAGGCAGGTGAGGGTGGAGTTAAACATGTTATCAGTTTAGAATTGTTGCGTTCCCACAAGCGCTCAAGAGTTCATTTCATTGACTCTTAACTGGCGCCAATTCAGTGTTGAACTTGACTTGAGCAGATTCTTGGATAAATCTATGCTGCAACCTAACTGGTGGTCTTGATTTTTTCAACCTGACAGATGCTTACATCTGCAGTTCTTTCCTCTTGGCATCCCTTCAATTTCTCGTTTTTTTTCCCCCACCCTCCCTCTCTAGGATTTAATGCTATGGCCGCCGGCGATGGCGCCATAGACAAGCAAGTTGGGGAACTCAAGATGGCTCCTGACGGCGAGACCAACGGTTCCTTGGAGTGCAACGAATTCAAGAGCCACCCCGGCGTAGCCAAGAACACTCAGGACAATGCAAAATTGAGCCAAGGGGACTCGGTGGCCAAGCTGAGCCGGATAGCAGAAAATGGATTTTCCGAACGAGACGGGGATGCTGGGAAGACGAACCACCTCAAAGCAGCAAACGACTTCACCCAGACCACGGTGACGGGCAGCAACGGGTACATTTTGCCCAAGCAGATGGCTCAGGACCTGCCCGTCAGGACTTCAAACAGTGGTTTTGCTGCTTTGCCGGGCCACGCCGCAAAGACGCTTCCTGCCGGAGGGAGCAAGGGGAGGACTTTGAGCCCCTTTATGCAAGCACAGGGCGCTCTCCCGGCTAAGTTTGGAGACGGGGGCGGCAAGGACCTGGAAGCTAAAAAAACAGGCGGGATCAAGGTGCACCGAGCCCGGAAGACAATGCCCAAGTCTCCATCTCACCTGGTAATGTATATAGCAATAGCAGTAGACCTTAGATTTATATACCGTTATCACAGTGCTTCACACCCCTCTCTAAGCAGTTTACAGAGTCAGCCTATTGGCCCCCAACAATCTGGGTCCTCATTTTACCGACCTCGGAAGGATGGAAGGATGAGTCAACCTTGAGCTGTTGATGGCAGTTGGCAGAGTTAGCCCTGCAATTCTGCATTCTGAACTGATGGCAGTTGGCAGAGTTAGCCCTGCAATTCTGCATTCTGAACTGATGGCAGCTGGCAGAGTTAGCCCTGCAATTCTGCTTTCTAACCACTGTGCCAGGACAGAAGGAAGAAGGAAGGAAGGAAGGAAGGAAGGAAGGAAGGAAGGAAGGAAGGAAGGAAGGAAAAGAGAAAGAAGAAAGAATGGGAGAGAGGGAGGGAAGAGAAAGAGAAAGGGAAAGAAAGAGAAAGAGAGGAAGGGAAAAAGAGGAGAAAGAAAGAGATAAAGGAAGGAAGGAAAAGAAAAGATGGGAAGGAGGGAGGGAAGAGAAAGACAAAGAGAAAGGAAGGAAGGAACAGCAATAGCAACAGCCCTCATATACCGCTTCATAATGCTTTATAGCCCTCTCTAAGCAGTTTAAAGAGTCACCCTATTGCCCCCAACCATCTGGGTCCTCGTTTGACCAACTTCGGAAGGATGGAAGGCCGAGTCAATCTTGAGCCGGTCAGGATTAAACTCCTGGCAGTGGGCAGAATTGCCACCGTTGTTAAGTCAGTGCAGTGGTTAAGTTAGGAACGTGGTTGTTAAGGGAAACTGGCTTCCGCATTGACTTTGCTTAGCAGAAGGTCAAGAAAGAGGATTATATGATCGCGGGACACTGCAAATGTCATAAGTATAAGTCAGTTGCAAAGTGTCATAAGTATAAGTCAGTCTGAATTTCGATCCTGTGACAATGGGGATGGTGCAATGGTCATAAGTGTGAAAAACGGTCATAAGTTCCTTTTTTCCCATGCCCAAAGGTGCTTTTCCAAAAGGCAACTGGACTTTGTTTTTCCTTGAAGAGGTTTCGCTTCTCATCCGAGAAGCTTCTTCAGTTGAAGTGAAGGGAACTGAAGGTGAAGTGAAGAAGCTTCTTGGATGAGAAGCAAAACCTCTTAAAGGAAAAGACAAAGAAAAGTCCAGCTGCCTTTTGAAAAAAAAAAACACCCGTGATCTGAATGACCGGAAATCTCCGTAGTCATCAAGTCCTTAGGACGTTCTGCCAATTAAAACATCGTTGTTGGCCTTCTGCGATTGTTGCTTAAATGACCCCAACTTTGCTAAATTGCTAGATCTATCTAATCAGAGATGGACAGATTAGCCCCTTTTAATGGATCTCCAGATCATTTGCGATAGATCAGCCAGGGATTCTAACTCCCAGCAGCCAAAAACATTGCAAGGCGGGATTTTAAATAGATATTTCTATCTTCACCTCTTCCGCTAATAGGCTATTTTTCTGCCTCCAGCATCTCCTGCCTGCGAGCTCTGAGTATTGATTGCCTGCCCAATTCTGCAAAGCTGTAGGCTAAGTTTAAAGGCTTCCCACCGGACTGGAGGTATCCAGTGATGCACGGTGGGAAATTTCTCAGGATTGCCCTTTTTTGCGGTTACGACCCCCCCTCCCCCCGAAAGAAATGATTTCTCGACAGATATTTACTGTATTTTTCGGACTATAAGACGCTCCGGACTACAAGAGGCACCTAGCTTTTGGGGAGGAAAACAAGAAAAAAAAAAATCTGGCTCTACCTCCCAGCAATTTGCCTCCTTGCAGCAAACAGCCTCGTCAGCTTCAGCACAGCCTGATTTAGCACGAGCAGCTGATTGGCGGTTGGATCGGCCTCCTGGAATACCAACGATCAGCTGTTCCAGGCTGCGGGGATTGCCACCGTCCATCACAGCCTATCACTGCCTCCGCACGCCCCATTTTCGGCATCCGCACGTTCCATTTTTGGCCTCCTCGTGTCCTGTTTTTGGCCCGTTCAGGCGGCGGCAATCCCTGCCACCTGGAACGGGCCAAAAATGGGACACGCGGAGGCCAAAAACAGGATGTGCAGAGGCCAAAAGTGGGGTGTGGGGTGGCCAGAAATGGGGTGTGTGGAGGAGGTGATAGGTGGTGGCAGCGATGGGCAGCTACAGCAGCAATGGGCAGTGGCAATCCCTGCAGCCTGGAACAGCTGATTGTTGATATTCCGGGAGGCCGATCCAACCGCCAATCAGCTGCTTGTGCTAAATCAGGTTGTGCTGAAAGTGGCTATGTTTGATGTTTGCTGCAAGGAGGCAAATTGCTGGGAGGCAGAAGCTGAAGGGTGGGGGTCGGCAGGTGGATGGGGCTTCGGCAACATTCGCTCTATAAGACACACAGACATTTCCACCCACTTTTTTTGGGGGGTGGGGGTGGGAGTGTGTCTTCTAGTCCGAAAAATACGGTATATTTCCGGTCTTTTGAAATTCAGACATCTAGGCATTCTGATACCCGCTTTACAGGTTTTGAGGCCTGGATTGTTGCTTTTTTTACAACTCTACATAATGCAAGGGAAATGTGAACAATTGAGTGGCTGTTCCTGAAGTTATTTGTCTGGTAATTCCAGTTAAGATAAATGTCCAGGTAACTAATTCGAAATGCACCGTAACATTTAAAACACGTCCAAAACGTTCTCTTCCCCTTTATCAAATATCTCAAAAAAAAGATTTCAGCTTGACTGCTTGTGTTGATTGGAAAACCTTTCCGGTTATTTATAACCGATAAAATTAGCAAGCCATATGTTTTATTCATCATCCTCAAAAGTTAAAAGAACAGCACCAATCCGTTTTCCATCAGCGTAGCCAGCATAACTGGATAATTGCAAGCAAAGTCTTTTTTTTTTTTTTTAAATTTGATTTATATGCCGCCCTTCTCCGGAGACTCAGGGCGGCTTACAATGCGCTAAGCAATAGCCTTCATACTTTTTGTGTATTTATACAAAGTCAGCTTATTGCCCCCACGAACTGGGTCCTCAATTTACCTACCTTAGAAAGGATGGAAGGCTGAGTCGACCTTGAGCCTGGTAAGATTCGAACCTGCAGTAATTGCAGGCAGCTGTGTTAATAGCTGCCTGCTATTAACAGTCTTAACTTTTATATGAGAATGTTTCTCTCTGGTGTAGCTGGAGTGATTTTGGGGGATTGACGAGGATCATACAAAATGCAATAAATTACAGTGCAAGTTGCAATCCTAGGATGAGCTTTATGTCCCATGGTTCTTTGAAAAGTACTGTGTGTATCTACAGGCAAACACATGGGCCTTTGAGTCAATGTTGACTTCTAAGGACTGTCCCTGAAGTTTCCTTGACAAAAGTTTTAGAAGTGTTTTGCTCTTACCTTCTTCTGAGAAAAAAAGGACTGGCCAAAGATCAACCAGTTGGCTTCGTGCCTAAGTCAGGACTAGAACTCCCGGTCACCTGGTTCTAGCTTGATGCCGTCACCGCTACACCAAACCAATTCTGGTGGTACATACGTGACATGCAGATGTTATGATTTCAAGGAGAGATAATGCTTCTCTATGACATTTAATTCTGCTTTGGCCAGTCTGGGCACCTCTTCATGAGGGAACCTTCTAGAATTCCTCAGTGGCGCGACCCTTGCTTAAATGGGAGTTGAAATCCATACCTTTTGTTGTGGTCTGCTGGCGGCCTATGGAGCTGGCAGCTGAGTCAGACAGTGAGGAGGTTGGAGAGGAACATGGGCCAGTCCTGGACGAGGCTCGGACGAGGGCTATGTGTCGGAGGCAGAGAGGGGGCCAGGGCCATCTGGGATTGATGTACTGCCTCCGGAATCTGACATCAGCGAGGCAGAAGAACAGTGTGAGCCTGTTCCTAGTGTGCGCATGCGCAGAGCTGCCAGAAGACAGGAACAATTAAGAAAACAGGGCCGACTTGGGAGTAAGGCTTGGAGTTGATTGGCCCCTTCCATAAGACATAAAAGAGGAGCACACGGACTGTGAGCCTTTGCAGGAAGCAAATTAGTTCATATAGCCGGTTCGAGCTCTGAGAAGTCCTGTTTGACTCTGTGCTCCGTTTGGCCTTGCAAAACTAATTGGCAATTAGGTCTCTGGCAACGTTTCAAGGGAGATAAAGGTGGGTGCTTATCAACATTACCCTGAAAGACTGTGTCCACTCGAGCAGACATCTGTCAGAATCTGCACAGATTGTTGGTGAATCGTTACGGGCTGTGAATGACCATAATTCACAGCCGTCTCAACAAAAGAGGTTTTTTTGGGGACTAAGATTGTGATTTATGCTTTCTCAGGAAGCCTAGGTCAGAATAGCTCTGTTGGATGTGGCTGCTTTCATAGGCTGCATTCCTTGCTACTATTTTAGATCTGCTTCTATCCTAACCCAATATTATTTCACCGAACGGATTCCCCCCACCCCACCCGGCATCCTTTTAAGTGCCGTTTCCTGCTCTTTAATCCTTTCCCCCCTCCCTGCGAAATATAACAGGCCCCCTTTCTGTTTTCCAGCATACCAACAAAGACCCCAAAGAAACAAGAACGCCTAAGGAAGACGGCAGCAAAGCCGTTATGGAATTCGGGAAGCCCGCTTCGCTCTCCTCCATCTCCGGCCTTCATTCATCTCTACCTCAGAATCAGAGCTACGTGGCCGCCTCAAAATCACAGACAGGTAAAAGGGGAAAGCTCAGGGGTTAAGAGAGCTCAGCTTGAAGCGGAGCGGTCTGAGAAGAGGTTGAGTACCCCTATCCTCGGAATGGAGAGAAAGTGTAATCTGGGGTTCTTCTGGATCCTTAACCTCCCCCATTTCCAAGTTCTGTCAAGTCCCTGCAGGGCAGTGGCTCCCAGATTCTATCAGATTCAATCAGATAGTGGTAATTCTGAGAGCAGATGGTATTAGATCTTAGGCGCTTTCCCTTTGTGTGTGTGTGTGTGTGTGAGAGAGAGAGAGAGAGACAGACAGAAGGAGAGAAAGAGACAGAGGAGAGAGAGACAGAGAAGAGATAGAGAGAAGAATGAGAGGAGAGAGGAGAGAGAAGAGAAAGAGGAGAGAGAGAGAAGAGAAAGAGAGACAGAAGAGAGAAGAGTGAGAGAGGAGAGAGAGACAGAAGAGAGAGGAGAGAGAGAGAAGAGAGTGAAGAGCGAGAGAGAGAGAAGAGAAAGAGGAGAGAGAGACAAAAGAGAGGAGAGAAGAAAGAGAGAGGAGAGGGAGAGGAGAGAGAAGAGAAGAGAAAGAGAGGAGAGAGACAGAAGAGAGAGAAGAGCGAGAGGAGAGAGAGAGACAGAAGAGAGGATAAAGAGACAGAAGAGAGAGAAGAGCAAAAGAGGAGAGAGAGAAGAGAAAGAGGAGAAAGAAGAAAGACAGAAGAGTGAGAGAGGAGAGAGAGAGAGAAGAGAAAGAGAGGAGAGAGAGAAGATTGAGAGAGGAGAGAGAGACAAAAGAGAGAGAAGAGAGAGAGAAGAGAGAGAGAGAGGGGGAGAAGAGCGAGAGGAGAGAAGGAAATGCCTCATTAAGCATCTGTTGTCCTGGGCAGTATTCCTCCTAGCCTGTCCCTGCAGAACCTGCCTTCTCCCTGCTCCTCCCTGATGGGCCTTTCTCCGTGTCCTCCTCTGCAGCTACTTCAGTATCTCGAAAGAAGAAACGAAGGATGGGAACATATAGCCTGGTTCCCAAGAAGAAGACCAAAGTTTTAAAGCAGAGGACGGTGATTGAGATGTTCAAAAGCATCGCTCATTCTCCAGACGGCAAGGTGAGAAGCGAGAAGAAGGTGCTCAAGATGTATGACATGCCGTGACATGGGATTTGCTGGTCCAATAAAGCTCAGAAACACGATTGAAGGACTTGTCTGTCTTCCCCAGCCACCTTTTCCGCCCTGATTTGCGAAAAATTTGGCCTTAAAAATAAGCGCCCTCTTGTTGAATTTCATCCATTTTTCTCTCCAGAGTGTCTTTTTCTCCTTGATCTGCTCAAAGATATGGGCAGCATCTTCCAGTATTGGTTACTTGGTATTTTTATGACTACTTGGGAATAGAATTAGCTTCTATTTCTCCTGCTCGGAAATACGCACACAAATATTTAGCTCTTCAACATACGTCCTTCTAGCTTTCTGCCCTTCCACTTATATAGGATCATAACTCATCATTTCTGGCCAGTGTCTGGTCTTCAGATCTTCTGTAGGAGCTTCTACTCAATCTACCCGAAAGGCATTCTTTTGAGAAGGAAGATTTTGATTTGGTGTGTGTGCGTGCGTGTCTTTCTTAAGCAGCTAGAGGTAGCCCTTGACTTAACGACCGCAAGTGAGCCCAACATTTCTGTTGCTAAATGAGACCTTTGTGTTAAGTGAGCTTTGTCCCATTTTACGAACCCGTTCTGGACTGCATTCATTAAGTGATTAACACAATTGTTAAGGGAATCTGGCTTCCCCACGATCGCGTGACCCGTCATAAGTACGAGTCAGTTGCCAAGCGTCTGAATTGGGATCATATGTTCTTAGTGTGAAAAACAGTCATAAGTCACCTTTTTTCCCAGTGATGTAACTTCGAATGGTCATTAAACGGACTGTTGTAAGTCAAGGACTACCTCTACTTTCAAAATCAGCTGAACCATGGCTTGGTTATTAACCAAGGCCGACTGAACCTTATTGGCTGGGCCAGTATAACACCCTAATCCAAAACCAGCAAGTCTTATGATGGCTTAGTGTGCACCAAGCCCTTGAGTGAGTGTAGTTGCTTGAGAACATACATTCTACATCTGGAAAGATCCGTGTTGAGTTTCTTGCATTGTCAGGTACACCTATGAAAGTCTCTCTCTGTGTCCTCTTTGCATCTGTAAAGAGCCATGGCTAATTCCTAGAGACACCCTAGAATTTGATGGACCACTAATTTAACAGAATAACAGAGTTGGACGGGACCATGGAGGTCTTCTAGTCCAAACCCCCACCCAAGCAGGAGACCCTACACCATTTCTGACAGATAGCAGTCCAAGTCTCTCCTTGAAAGCCTCCAGTGATGAAGCTCCCACAACTTCCAAAGGCAACTTCTGTTCCATGGGTTGATTGTCAGAAAAATTCCTCTTTATTTCTAGGTTGAATCTCTCCTTGTTCAGTTTCCATCCATTGTTCCTTGTCTGGCGTTCAGGTGCTTTGGAAAATAGCTTGACCCCTTCCTCTCTGTGGCAGCCCCTCAAATATTGGAAGACTGCTATCATGTCTTCCCTGGTCCTTCTCTTCACTAGACTAGCCATGCCCAGATTCTGCAACCGTTCATCGTAGGTTTTAGCTTCCAGTCCCCTAGTCCCTTGGGAGTTGGGCGGCATAGAAATTCGATAAATTAAATTAAATTAAATTAATGTTGCTCTTCTCTGCACTCTTTCTAGAGTCTCAACATTTTTTTTATAGTTTGAGTGACCTAAACTGGATGGAGTATTCAAGGTGTGGTCTTACTAAGGGTTTATAGAGTGGTAGTAGTCATCCAGCTTATTGTCAGAAAATTTCTCCTTATTTCTGGGTTGAATCTCTCCTTGTTCACTTTCCACCCATTGTTCTTCGTCTGGCCTTCAGGTGCTTTGGAAAATAGCTTGACCCCCTCCTCTCTGTGACAGCCCCTCGGAACACTGCTCATTTATAACTCTTAATTTCACTTTCTCCGTTCCACAAAGTGTCCAAAATAAGACACCGCGGGAATGTCCCGTGAGCTCTAGATTCACCGTTGACTTTTATGTGTGGGAAAATCTCCAGGTTGAGAAGGACGACGGCAGCCGACACGTGAACGGGGAACGTTTAGAGGTTGATTCCGAAGAAGACGACTCAGATGAACTAGAGGAAGAAGATGAACGTGGAGCCGATCAGACCGCCACTTTTCCCGTGGAGGAGAACAGAACTGCTAACGACAGAGACACGACGGACATTAGCAATACCAGAAAGGTGATCTCGGATGGTCCTTTGGAGAACATTAGACATTGGCGTGTGAGAACATGGCTTTAGGTGGCCTCCAAGCAGAGGTGGGATTCATATTCGGTCTCCACCGGTTCGCCCAGCACCGGAAATGTGAGCGTGTGCCGTCCCTGCATGTGTGCGACATCAAACAACACGGGAATTCACATGGGCCCTCCACGCATGCATGTGATGTCAAAACCACAGCGATATAGGACGGGATCGCAGGTCGCTACAACTGGTTTGCCCGAACCGGCTGAATACCGCCTCTGCCTCCAAGATTTAGTTGGCAGTGTGGGGTTTCCTGTTTCACCTTATCAAAACCCCAGCATCCCCAGTTCAGCTGAGGCATGATGAGAATGCAGACAGGAGCTAACCCTTCGGGCTTTTAACTTTCCTAATTTAGGGAGTTGCAGGTTCCACCTCTTCACGTAGCAATAGACCCAAAAGTGCTGCTCCAAAAAAAAAAAAGCATCTGGACTTCCTTGTTTTTCTTCTTCTTCTTGAAAACGTTTCGCTTCTCATCCAAGAAGCTCCTTGTTCAGATGAGAAATATTTTCAAGAATAAAGTCCAGGTCCCCTTTTTTGGGAAAGCACCTTCGGGGCCAGGGGTGGGTTTCACATTTCGTTACCACCGGTTTGCCGCACACACGCATGCCTTCCGCACATACGTTTTGCGTTTTGCCACATGCGCACACCTTCCACACTTACGGCCGGCCTCAAAAATGTGCCTAAATAGGGATGGCATAGAGCCGGTGCGGGCCCACCCATGATCTCCGCTACCGATTCGTCCGAACCGGCTGAATACCACCTCTGTTCAGGGCAACCATCACCTGGATGATGTGAGAATCTCCACAGACATAAAAGACCAAGCTAGCGGACTTGATAGCCTACAGATCTGGTCAGGTGTAACCTAGTTTGCTCAGCCTTCTCTGTTTTCACGTGAAACCTCTCTTTGGTCCATCACAGATGGTGGACGGAGAGTCGGAGGAGGAACAAGATTCTGCGGACTCCATCGAAGAAGAAGAAGACGGCGACGAATCGGACTTGGTGAGTGCCTCCACCTTTTGTTCTCAGAAGGAACGGTGGCGAGGAACCTCCAAGACACTCCAGGCCCAGCAAAGTGAATTCAGTTGTCGGTGGAAGACCCCCCCACCTCCCCCCTCTGTTTTGTTTTGTCTCCCTCCTTCCCTTGCCAATCTGATTTGCAACCACATTGTGGTGTTTTGTTTTGTTTTGCTCTTTTGTTGGTTTGAAGGGGAACGGTGGACTTCACATTAAAGTCTGTTGCTTTCTTGTCAGGCCTCAGCAGAGGTCTGCTCTTGGTTGCCAGGTGCCAAGACCAAGGCGCGGTCCAAACAGGCATGGCCAGAGCTGGAAGAAGCAGGACAGAAGCAGGCACGTAGCCCAGACAGACCCTGCCCAGGGCCAAGTTCTGCAGGAGGCAAGGCAAGACACGCCCCAAGGCTGTTGCTGCTTCTGCTGCTGCTGTTGCTTCTACTACTGCTGCTGCTTATCGAGAGCCATTGCTCAGACTTTTGGGCTTCAGTGGACCAGAATGGGCTCCCTTTCCATCCACTAAGCAATCGCCTGTTGCGTTTGGGCTACAACTCGCATCATTCCCCTGCCAGAAGCGCTGGCCAGGTGTGACGGAGGATGTTGTAGGTTACCGCAAGGACTTGGCGTCTTTTAAGATGTGTGGACTTCAACTTCCAGAATTCCTCAGCCAGCATGGCTGACCCAAGAATCCTGGGAGTTGAAGTCCACAAGTCTTTAAAGTCGCCAAGGTTGGGGACTTGAGGATTTCTGGGAGTTGAAGTCCACAAGTCTTAAAAGTCTCCCAAGGTTGGACAGCCCTGATTTATCCAGCCAGACCCGTGGACTTCAACTCCCAGAATTCCTCAGCCAGGCTTGTGGACTTCAACTCCCAGAATTCCTTAGCCAGGCTTGTGGACTTCAACTCCCAGAATTCTTCAGCCAGCATCGCTGACTGAGGAATCCTGGGAGTTGAAGTCCACCAGTCTTAAAAGTCGCCAAGGTTTGGAGACCCCTGGGCTATTGTACTTGAAGGATCCCAGATTAGGGAAAATGCTGGCTTATGCATTGATTCTATGCTTCTCGCAGCCTTTAATTTGTGACAAGTGGATCGGTAGGAGAGCTGGATCATCTGTGGTGGCATGCTGGGACCTCTCTCCGCCCCTTTCCCTCCAATGATCCAAGTCCTGCTTCCAGGAGGGCTTTCCCCTCTCCTCTTCTGTCGTTCTGCAAACTCTGGCTTCGATTTCAGATCCCTGGTTTTGTCTCCCTTTTGTTTTTCCTTGGGGCCATTCTTCTTCTCCACCCGAGCGGAGCAGGAGTTGGCCTCAAATTCTAAATGACCACCTGGCTGTCGTCCCTGGATTAACTTTACGTTGTGTCATTCAAGCTGCAGAAATCTTTCAAAGTTCTGAGTCTATTGGGTAGATGAAGGAGCTGAGGTTAGGGGGGAAAAACCAAACCAGTTGGTCCCTGATTTGGGTAGTGGGTATTTTCAGGAAGGGCAGGTGTTGGGTTTGGAACTTTTGGAATTCCGTTGGGATCTTTTTTGCTGTGGGTTGAATAGTGAGAATCCTTGATAGTCTGTGGCATTTAGTTAGCGGGGGGGGGGGGAGAGAAAGTGTCCAAATCTGTTGTGACCCAAGCCCAAGTAGGTAGCATTATATGCAAACAATTCAAAAACAGACTTTATTAGAACAGCTGAGAATTAACTCATTCTCAGCGTAGTCCAAACTAAATCTAAACAAATTCCTCATAACACAAAATTCTTCAGTCTAATCACCAACCTTGGTATAATTAGGCAAACTGCCAAAGGCTTCTTTTGGCAAAAGTTCAGAAGCAGAAGACGCCGACAAGAGATAAGTGCAGCAAGACAAAAACAAATCTCTCAACGGTTGTTTTCCGGCAAAGAGCCCAAGAGCTGTTGCTGGTCTTTTAAGCCTTATGGGAGGGGCCAATCATCTCTTGGCCCTACTCCCAAGTCATCCTCTTTGCTGCAGCTGCTCTTGCCTTCTGGCAGCTCTTCTCATATGTGCACTAGGAACAGGCTCCTCCTGTTCCTCTGCCTCTCTATTGTCAGCCTCTGGAAGCTCCGGAGTCTGCACATCACTCCCGATGGCCTTGGCCCCATCTCTGCCTCCGACGCAGAAACCTCATCCGGGCCCTCCCCAGCCTCCAGGACTGGCCCATGTTCTTCCTCAGCCTCATCGCTGTCCGACTCCGCTGCCAGCTCTGCAGGCTGCTGACAGATCACAACAAAATCTAGAAGATCAAGTGCTGCTCAGTATAGGCAAGAAGGAACGTGACATGGTGTCCATCTTGCAGATTTTGGCATCCCCATGCAACTATTGATGATAATATTACAGCCGATTGATCTACTCTGTTGATTGTTTGAACGTACGCACATTCCCATAACACCAGGGGTAAAATGCTACTGGTTCGGACCGGTTCAGGTGAACCGGTAGTATAAAATGCTACCAGTTCGGGTGAACTGGTATTTCCGATGATCAGTTGGGCGACGATCAGCTGTGACGCGCGATTGATAATAGCTAGAATTGTCGGTTTTCCTGCTTTCTAGCTAATCTAAATCGCGTGGCACAGCGGATTCCCCCTCCCCTCGCTGTTGTATTTTGCAGACTCGGAAGGCTTCAAAATGTTCCTTTTTTAGCGCTGTTTTTCACCCTCCAGAGGCTTTCTTGGAGCCTGGGGAGGGCAAAAACAGCCTTCCCCATCCACCCACCCCGGATACCCTCTGGTGGGCGCAAGTGGCCAGAAGGCCCGAAAATCAGCTGGCTGGCATGCACACGCGCGCTGGAGCTGAGCTACGGCAACGCTCACGTGCCCACAGATACGGCTCCCTGTGCCACCTGTGGCATGCGTGCCATAGGTTAGCCATCTCGGCCCTATGCTATTTTAGACAAATGGTTGTCCGGTCTCTTCTTAAAAACCTCCAGCAATGGAGCACCCACAATTTCTGAAGGCAAGTCGTTCCACTGGTTAATTGTTCTCAACTGTCAGGATATTTCTCCTTTAGATCTAGTTTCCTTCTCTCCTTGATTAGTTTCCATCTGCTATTTCTCGTATATAACCAGTTCCTGTAAAAATATACAGCTCTGAAACCTTGATCTTTTACAACTGGCGCATCTCTTATGAAAGCAAGCCTCAAATATCTTGGTTTCCTTGGGCTTGTTTTAGATCTGTCTGCAAATGCGGCGATGTGGCCTCCGCGTGATTAAAATCCAATCCTTATTATTATTATTTGTATCATATGCCTTATAGGACAAAAGTGTAGAAAGAAAACCTTGGGGGAGAAAAAAAAAATCAATTCTTCAAAATGAAGGGGCTGAGAAGTAATCATCCTAATTGGCGTAAGATATTTAATGTTCAGATATTGAGCTGCCTTCTCTTAAAGGATTTTTAATTGGCAGGGGTTTTTTCCCCCCCTTTTAAATTAAATATTCATGACTGTCTTAAATCTTCACCTATTAGTAGGTAGCCAAAACAATTCATGGAACGTTAACAGCAAAATTAATTTTGCAATGGCTTGATAAATAAAAACTACCTATCTTTTCTAAGAGATGCATGCAAACTGAACTCTTCGTACTCTTGTTTTCTAACCGAATTAATAGTTATGTTACCAAGGTTACTCTTCCCTGCTTGGCTTACAAAATAACTCAGGTTTGATCACAAGAAAGCTTCCCATCAAGTGAGGACTGACAAGCTGTGATGGGAGGCATCTCTCTGAATCCATGGCCGAGAATCATAGTTCTGCTGTGGTTTACAGGTCTCCCTATGAGGTCCTGGTTGTAAGTGTAACTATAAACTATGGCTTAATCAGTGTTATATATAAAAACACACGGATCTCCCCACGCAGCTTAGTGGATATATTATATTTTTTGGAAAAAGCATCTTTAGAGGAATCTCTCTCTCCCCCCCCTCTCTCCCTCCGTGCCTCCCTATCTATCATCTATCTATCTATCTATCTATCTATCTATCTATCTATCTATCTATCTATCTATCTATCTATCTCTTCTACCTAGACCTCTATCTATCTAGAGATCTATCTATCTATATCCAAAGATGCTTCTTCCAAAAGGCAAGTGGAATTTCCTGTTGTTGTTGTTTTTTTTTGTTTGTTTTTAACAAAAACGTTTCGCTTCTCATCCAAGTTAGAACTGGAGAAGCTTCTTGGATGAAAAGTGAAACGTTTTCAAAGAAAAGACTTAAGAAAGTCCACTTGCCTTTTGGAACCAAACCTCCCCCCCCCCTCCACCTTTGGGGGACTTCTATATTGAGGGTTTGAGATGGTTGCCTGGTTTACCCGCCCTGAGTCCTTCGGGAGAAGGGCGGTATAGAAATAAAATTAATAAATAAAAAATAAATAAATACTGGAGCACGCCATCAATGTAGGCTTAGTGTTCTGTGCGCGCTATGCCGCAATGGCTTATTTATTCAACCGACTCTTGATTTAAAAACTCCCTGGATCATCCAGGCAAACCTGGACAATATGATTGGGGAAAGAGGCTGCAAAGAAGGTTGAGATCATTCCCCTGGAGGCTATCCAGATTAGGCAAGACTGGCTTAGCGTGATGAACAGAGAGGCTGCCTTCATGGGAACCCGGCAGGGAAACAGATTAAGAATTGACATGTCACGTATGTTTGAGACAGAAGAACATTTGGGTCTTTCTGTCCTTGAAGCTGGTGGCAACTTGAGATGTTCGGAGATATTTGAGATGTTTTGAGTAGTTCAAAGAACCGGTAGCAGAAATTTTGAGTAGTTCAAAGAACCTGTAGCGGAAATTTTGAGTAGTTCAGAGAACTGGCGAATGCCACCTCTGACTGGCCTCAGAGTGAGGTGGGAATAGAGATTTTGCAATATCCTTTCCCCAGGAGTGGGGAGGGAATGGGGATTTTGCAATATCCTTCCCCCAGGAGTGGGGAGGGAATGGGGATTTTGCAGTATCCTTCCCCTTCACCCACCAAGCCACCCCGACAGAACCGGTAGTAAAAAAATTTGGATTTCACCACTGGTCTGAAGGCAACTTCTGTTCCACTGGTTAATTGTCCTCTGCATCTTTGCATCATGGTTTCACCCAGCGGAACAAAATCCTTCCCCATTAAGCATATCCTAGCAAACTTGCTATTATTCCATTGTGGTTTATACCGGAGTCTATATAACACAACAAACGTAGCTTCTTGAAACAGTTGTTTGAAATCTAGCATCCATGAGTTCTATTTGGGTGTTCTGACTGTGTGTCTGGTTATAGAAGGCTGTAATTTTTTTTTTTTGAATTTGTTTTTTTAAAAAACATAAACATAAAATGCATCTTTTCAAAGCAAAGCATTGATCCGGTCATAAATTGGTACAAATCACTAACAAATCTTAATTTTCAATTAACACAACTTAATATTTTACTCAATTATTTCCCTAAATTCTGTCTATTTAACAATGCCGTTATCCCAAAAACCCGCTACTTAAATCTTTAAATCCTAACCAAATATCATTTCATTTTTCTTTTTCTTTTTGCTTGGATGAATGTATTTTAAAAATATAAATCATTACAATTATTATAAGCATTTAAACAATATTTTAACTGTTGCTCCCAATATAATCATCTTCATTGCTGTTTATCCCAACATAATCATCCTAATTTTAATTATTAATCCCAACATAATCATTTTATTTTTACCGCTAATCCTAGCACAATCATCTTTATTTTAACTGTTTATCCCAACACATCATCTTCATCTTCATCATCATCTTTTACTGTTAATCCCAGTGTAATAATCTTTATTTTTACTGTTGAACCCAGCATAATCATTTCATTTTTACTATTAATCCCAACATAATCCTCCTTGTTTTTGCTGTCATACCCAGCATAATCATTTTTCATTTTTTTTGCTGTTAATCCCAGCATAATTTTGAGCGACATCCCTAATTGAATTCCTTCTCAAGGTCCAAATGTTGCATTGATTTTTTTTTTTTGACCTGTTATTGAATTTTTTTATTTTTGGGGGGAGGTCTATGGCTAAATACTGAGCCACTGTGACATGTAATGCCCAGAACAGCAAACTGTGGTTTCAGGTAAGTTTTACTAACCCAGGATCCTATTCAATGATGGTTTCTCATTTTGGACATAATGGCAGAATGATGGTTAATGTGGATCGGGTTCGGTTCTCCCAAGAGGGTAGAAAGATGCACGTGTGAATCCATCTCTTGTGCTTTTAGGGCAGGGGTCTGCAACCTTAAACACTCAAAGAGCCATTTGGACCCGTTTCCCACAGAAAAAAAAACACCGGGAGCCACAAAACCCTCCCCGTGCCTGACGATTTCTCGAGCGGCCACAAAACTAGCATATGTAGTTGAATTAAACGTTCTGTTTTCTTCTGAAACTTTTCTTTTCTTGGGTTTATCCATGGTTGGCCTACCAGGGGTTGAAAAGCTCAAATAAATCTGCGTGCCGGCGGGTGTCACACATTGGCAGTTGTGATGCATATTTTGAATGACAGGGAGCCGCAGCAGAGGGGTGAAAGAGCCACATGCGGCTCCAGAGCCGCAGGTTGCTGACCCCTGCTTTAGGGTAACCAAACCAAGATTGTTGGCTCCAAGTCAGCCTGTGATGTGTTTTAACCTCTTAACTAGGTTCTTATTGTTGTTTCTCGTTTGTTCAGACTTACTGCTCTGCCTGCTTCCTATAACCTTCCTATCCCTCTTCCCAAAAGCTGTTTTTTTTTTTTTTATTTCTCGTTATTGATCTGTAGCTAAGTGTCTTGTATAGAGCTCCAGTGAAAGGCTTTGTCGTTCTTTGTCGAGGTGGATTTCTTTTATAATTTATTTTTAGGGGAAATAAAAGGCAGGGGCAGAAAATATTTGAACAAATCCAGTGCTGTTAGCTGAGACTTCCATTATCCTACGCTACAGAGATAATTCCTCGACTTTAATTGGGACCAGAATTTGCTAAGCGAGGGGCTTGTTGCAATCAGATGATCCCGGGATGCTCGGGCCGTTGCAAAGAGATACAGGCAGCCAAGCCCCCCGTAATTTTGCACCGTGGAAGTGGCGGGGTGCTGCAACGGTTGCTAAAGGGCTAAGTCACGTTTTTTTTTCCAGCGCCCGTTGCGACTTTGAAGGGTCACTAAAGAAATGGTGATAATTCAAGGACTACCTGTGGGCTTCTGTTACAGCACGTGCTGGGAAAAGGAAAAGAAAACACTAACTAAGGGAAGATAGCCAGTGTTGCTTAAGTGGTTAATTTTTAACAAATGGATTAAATTTAGCAATTGGGTAGGCTGAATGTTCTTTTCTTTTCTCTTTCTTTCTTTCTTTCTATCTTTCTTTCTTTCTTTCTTTCTTTCTTTTTCTTTCTTTCTTTCTTTCTTTCTTTCTTTCTTTCTTTCTTTTTCTTTCTCTTTTTTTCCTTTTCCCTTTCCATTCCTTCCCTTCCCTTCCCTTCCCTTCCTCCTCTCCTCTCCTCTCCTCTCCCTTTCCTTTCCTTTCCTTTCCTTTCCCCCTTCCCTCCCTTCCTCCCTTCCTCCCTCCCTTTCTTTCTTTCTTTCTTTCTTTCTTTCTTTCTTTCTTCTTTCTTCCTTCCCTTCCTCCTCTTCCTTTCCTTTCCTTTCCTTTCCTTTCCCCCTTCCCTCCCTCCCTCCCTCCCTTCCTTTCTTTCTTTCTTTCTTTCTTTCTTTCTTTCTTTCTTTCTTTCTTTCTTTCTTTCTTCTTTCTTCTTTCTCTTTTCCTTTTCCTTTTCCCTTTCCTTTTCCCTTTCCATTCCTTCCCTTCCCTTCCTCCTCTCCCTTTCCTTTCCTTTCCTTTCCTTTCCTTTCCTTTCCTTTCCTTTCCTCCTTCCCTTCCCTCCCTTCCCTCCCTCCCTCCCTCTCTTTCTTTCTTTCTTTCTTTCTTTCTTTCTTTCTTTCTTTCTTTCTTTCTTTCTTTCTTCTTTCTCTTTTCCTTTTCCTTTTCCTTTTCTCTTTCCTTCCCTTCCCTTCCCTTCCTCCTCTTCTCTCCTCTCCTCTCCCTTTCCTTTCCTTTCCTTTCCTTTCCTTTCCTTTCCTTTCCTTTCCTTCCCTTCCCTTCCCTTCCCTTCCTTCCTTCCTTCCTTCCTTCCTTCCTTCCCTTCCCTTCCCTTCCCTTCCCTTCCCTTCCCTTCCCTTCCCTCCCTCCCATCCTTTCTTCTTTTACTTCCTTCCTTCCTTCCTTCCTTCCTTCCTTCCTTCCTTCCTTCTTTCCTTCCTTCCTTCCTTCCTTCCTTCCCTCCTTCCTTCCCCCCCTTTCTCACTTCGCTTGTTGTAAGAAAACCGGGCCGTTATTATCCTTTTTTTTTTTTTTTTTGCACTTTTATCCTGCAGCGTACCATCCCTGACTCCTTGGCCTCTGCCGTCTATTACGTGATCTTTTCCGAGAGCAGCTTTGTTGCTAAATGTCGCTCAACTGTGCTACTCTGGTCCTCGCCACTTTCAAGAAAAGCAGGGGTGGGGCGGGGGGGGGGGGGGGGGGGGAAAACCGGGACCACCACCGTAACCATGGCAGGCCAGGCCTCCTTCTCCTAAAACAGTTGGTTCTGGTGCTTTTGCAGAGCTCCGAATCCAGCCTCAAGAAGAAAATGATGAAGCGGAAAGGGAAAACGGAGAGCCCTTGGTTGAAACCTACCCGGAAACGGAGGCGGAGAAATAAAAAGAAAAAACCCAACTTGATAGGTAACGGAGTTGGACAGCTCTTCTTCTTATTATTATTACTATTGTTATTTTGGAAGTGCTTCTTTACAGGAGACCCCCAAGGGAAGAGGGTGGGTGATGAAGCTCTCCAGGAGGATGGGTGTGGAGATGCCGGTTGGCAGAACATCTGGAGCCTACAACTTGCCTTCCTCTCCAATCTTGGCTTGTAGAGAAATTTCTTTTGTTCTGCAAGACAGAGATGGACCTTTCTGGTTCCTTGGTTTCCGGGCCAAATTTCAGGATCAAAGGCGGTGCACGTGTCGGTTTCCTCTCGGGATGTTTTTAAAATCACAGTCCGCCAAACCAGGATTGTGGGCTTCGAAAGGGAGCCCGTGGTGCGTTTCGATCCTCTTAACTAGCTACCGGTTAAGAGATAATCCAGGAAGGAACATGGAGGAACATCAGTGGGGCTCCTTGACTTTCCCAAAGCGCCGGCAGAAATAGAATAGCCGTCTCCAGATGTTCAGAGTAGGTGGAAGAGGCAGCTGCGCCCATCGATATTTCTACAGCTTTGCTGATAGGAGAAGCGACCGGTTGGGTTGGGTTGAGTTGAGTTGTGTTGTGTTGTCCTCAATCTTGGAAGTTCTCATTTTGAAACGAGACGCTGGTGGTTTCGCTTGTCCTTCCTTTTAGGAGGAAGTTGTGGGTCCCTGGGTTGATTCTGGATCACCGTTCAATACCTAGGATCGTTTCCTAACGGCTGCTCCATCCGTAGGGAAGGGATGGAGTGGTCCATAGGTCAAAAATCGGCCCTCCTGCTCGAGGTTGTCTTGCTTCTCAACGCGTAGGGGCTACTAAACTCTGGTTCTCGACTCCTTGCAGTTGCTCAGCCTCCCTCTGGATGGTTGTTAATTTTATTTTCCCGAAGGGCGATAATTGTGCCGTTGGTTTCACCAAAATCGTCGGGGTTTTTCTGCCCTTGGGTCAATGGAAGCTGGATTGGGCAGAAGGAAGGGCCCAACGATGGGGCAGGGAACCACTCCGCTGGTCCTTGGGCGCCCTTTGCTTCTTCCCACGTGGCAAGGGAGGTGGAGGGCTTTGCGTCTTGTGTGTGCGCACAGCTGTGTGTGTGTGTGTCTGTGTTGGAATGTGCATGTGTGAGAGAGATGGAAGTGCGAATGGAGAAGAAGCATGAACTGGTTCCCACATGTGAGCTCTTCCAAGCTTTTGATATCTTGAGTAGAGTGAGCCAAGAGGAACCCAGCTCCCTCCTTCCTTCCTTCCTTCCTTCCTTCCTTCCTTCCTTCCTTCCTTCCTTCCTTCCTTCCTCTTTCTCTTTCTCTTTCTCTTTCTCTTTCTCTTTCTTCCCTCCCATCCTTTCTTCTTTCTTTTTTCCTTCCTTTATCTCTTTTTCTCTTTCTTCCTTTCCTTTCTTTCTCTTCTCTCCCTCCCTCTCATCCTTTCTTCTTTCTCCTTTCCTCCCTCCCTCCCTTTATCTCTTTTTCTCCTTCTCTCTTTTCCTTTCTCTTTCTCTTCCCTCCCTCCCTCCTTCTCTTTCTTTCTTTCTTTCTCTTTTCCTTTCTCTTTCTCTTCCCTCCCTCCCATCCTTTCTTCTTTTCTTTCCTTCCTTCCTTCCTTCCTTCCTTCCTTCCTTCCTTCCTTCCTTCCTTCTCCGCAAAGGGAAGCTACCCCCTTTGAAGCTTAACCTTCCTGGTGGCTAAGAACTTTCCCACTGTGCAACAGGAGAAGATCTCCCTCCGATCCACGTGAAGGAGGAGAAGGAGAAAGAGAAGGAGATGGGCCCCAGAGATCAGTGGGCCCAGCGGTTGGCCTTTTAATTGTCCTCCCCTCCGCATCTGTATTTACCGATCCTTCAGAGCGGGTGTTGCTTGCCTCCTTGCCTGTTAAAGCGATGAATGTGGCCTTTGAGGAGAGAAAGAGAGAGACACATGCATTGCTGTTTCTCAATCGACATGCCTTTCAAACCCAGGTTCTGACTCCTACAAGCCCCCCCCTCAGGGGAGCGAAGAAGGGGCTGGGCAGGAGGACAGCATGGAGTACATGGAGGTGCCTCTGCATTCCTTGGATCTGCGGGTGAAGGGGGTTCTCTCTTCGCAATCAGAAGGTGAGTGCGTGTGTCAGGTTTCTAAATATGGCCATGTACCATTTTGGATCTTTGTTTCCTTGAATTCATTTCTCTATATTAAGATGATGCCCCCTGGTGGCTGCTTAACTGGGAGAAGGAGAGCAGGCTGGCGTCCCTTATATATATATATATAGAGTGTGTGTGTGTGTGTGTGTGTGTGTGTGTGTGTGTGTGTGTGTGTGTGACGATGGATCCAATGGAGAGAGAGAGAGAGAGAGCAGCAGTTGGGACGAGGAGTAGATTCCCTTTGGCCCAGCAACCTCAGGAAGAAAGGAGGGAGGTGGAGGCAGAAAAATACCTTGGGAGGATCCTCAAGACATTAAAAGGACTGCTTGCCTCCAGAAGTTGTGGGTGCTTCGTCAATGGAGGTTTTTAAGAAAAAAAACCCAAAAAACCTGGACAGCCGCCTATCTCCCCCTGTTTGAGCAGGGGGTTGGACTAGAAGACCTCCAAGGGCCCTTCCAGCTCTATTCCGATGGACCGAAATGGTCTAGAGTTTCCGACTTGAGCAGGGGGGAGGTTGGACTAGAAGACCTCCAAGGGCCCTTCCAGCTCTGTTCCGATTCTGATTGACTAGGGTGGGTCTGGATGCTGCAAAGCCCCTCTATTCAGTGGCGGGGTCTTTAGTAGTTCTTGTTCGAGTGGGTGGGAAGGAGTTTCCCTCCTCTCCCTTCCCACTGGTTAAGAGCCTTTGGCAAGACAGTTTTTGAGAAACTGGCACCCACCCACGTGGTGGAGAGCCATCGATTCCAAGCAGCAGCTGCCGAGAACCAGCCCTGGGGGTTGAATCTAGTTCAAGAAATAGTAGATGACTTTAACCATTCGGAGCAGCCCCCAGGGTTTCGGAATAGCCTGTATGGGAAATGTGGAAGGCCGAACGCCCAATCTTACAGTAGTGGCCAAAATTGTGGAAAACCTTTTGGGAAAAAGTGTATTTTTGAGGTTTGATGGCTAATAACACCATCTTTTTTGGGAGTTTCAAGATAATCATATTCCGCTGCTGGAATGGCCTGGGAATAGCCTAGATCAGGGCTCTGCAACTTTAAACACTCAAAAGAGCCATTTGGACCCGTTTCCCACAGAAAAGAAAACACCGGGAGCCACAAAACCCTTCCCATGCCTGACTATTTCTTGAGCGGCCACAAAACTAGCATATGTAGTTGAATTCAACGTCCCGTTTTCTTCTGAATCTTTTCTCTTCTTGGATTTATCCATGGTTGGCCTACCGGGGGTTGAAAAGCTCAATAAATCGCGTGCCAGCGGGTATCGCACATTGGCGGTTGTGACGCATATTTTGAGTAACTGGGAGCCGCAGCACAGGGGTGAAAGAGCCACATGCGGCTCCAGAGCTGCAGGTTGCTGACCCTTGGCCCAGACCTTAACCCAATTGAAAATCTATGGAGCCGATTAAAGAAACTTGTTAGTCAGAAGCGACCCAGCAATAAAACCCAGTTAATAGAAGCCATCCTTCAATCTTGGTTTCACATTGTAACATCTGCAGAACTAAAAGACTTGGTTCACTCCCTGGGAAGATAAGGCTGTAATTCATGCTAAAGGTTACCCAACTAAGGATTAACTGACATGGTGATCATTTTTGTATATCTCTTTTTTTTTTCTACGTGTTTCACTTTTCTTCTTTATCCTGTAACTGCAATTCTAATAGCAAATCCTTCATAAATGTTACCGCATTACATTCTTGATTAAATTATCTTTCCATTGATATATAATTTTATGGTAGTATTCCAAAAAAAAGTGGTGTCATTAGCTGGTTTTAGAAAATACAGTTCTCCCCAAAAGGTTTCCACAATTTTGGCCACTACCGTAGCTCCGATAGCTGGGCTGAAATCAAAAGACTGCCTGTTCCTTTTCCTCTCTGGAAGGCTACAGATGTGTAGATCCAATATAGGCACTTTGAAACATCGTTCTTCAACCTTGGATGGCTGAGATGTGTTGGCCAAGAATTCTTCTAATTCTCCAAACTGCTGGAGAACAGCAGATCTAAATAGGAACGTCACACAATATGGAGCAAAGGGACATTTCTTACAACAAAGAATCCTCTTTTTTTTTTCTCTGTAAATGTTCTTGTGACATGCACACTTGATTGTGAATGCAGCATGGGTGTCCCACAACCCCCATCATTCTTCAAATAAAGCCACCCCTTCCCCCTCCCCTTCAGTCTTCGTCCTTAACCTGGGACATGATATTCAAGGAATGATTTGAGTCTTGTCATCTGCACCTCCATAACTGTCTGGTTTGGTTCTCTAACCCAACAAGACAGACACAGACTTCAGAGGATAATTAGAACTGCAGAAAAAACAATGGCTACCCACCTGCCTTCCATGGAGGACCTGTATCCTGCATGAGTCAAAAAGAGGGCTGGGAAAATATCTACAGACCCCTCGCATCCTGGACATCAACTGTTTCAACTCCTACCCTCAAAACGATGCTATAGAGCACTACACACCAGAACAACTAGACACAAGGACATTTTTTTCCACCCCACGCCATCACTGCTAAACAAATAATTCCCTCAACACTGTCCAAGTATTCGCTAAGTCTGCACTACTATTAATCTTCTCATCGTTCCCACCACCCATCTCCTCCCACTTATGACTGCATGAGTCTAACTTTGTTGCTTGTATCCTTACGATTTATATTGATTGTTTCCTAGTATGATTTGATTGCTTATTTGTACCCTATGACTATCATTAAGTGTTGTACCTAATGATTCTTAACAAATGTATCTTTTCTTTTTATGTACACTGAGAGCATATGCACCAAAGACACATATCCTTATGTGTCCAATCACACTTGGCCAATAAAGAATTCTATCTATCTTCTATCTAAAAAGAGAATAACAGAGTTGTTATTCTTGGACCTTGGAGGTCTTCTAGTCCAACCCCCTGCTCAAGAGGGAACCCGATACCATTTCAGACAGATGGGTTGTCCAATCTCTTCTTGAAAACTTCCAGTGATGGAGCAGCCACAACTTCTGGAGGCAACTCATTTCCACCGATCGATTGTGCAAACCGAGGAGGTTCTCCTTATATCTGGGTTGCTTCTCTCCTTGATTCGTTTCCATCGCTTGCTTTTTCTCCTGCTTTCAGCTGCTTTGGAGGATAGGTTGACCCTCTCTTCTTTGTGGAAGTCCCTTGGGGTAGCCTGCTCTGTCTTACCCTTGTGTAGGAATCTCTTGTGTATTTGTTTTTTCTCCTGCGGGTCTTTCTAATGCTCCCGGAGCAATGGAAACAGGTTTTTTTTTTCTTCTTCTTTCTCCTGCAGGTCTTTCTAATGGTTCTGGAGCAATGGAAACAGACAGTCTTCAAGAAGTGCCTCTCTGCAGCTGCCGGATGGAAACCCCGAAAAGCCGAGAGATCACCACGTTAGCGAACAACCAGTGCATGGCCACGGAGAGTGTGGATAAGGAGGTAAGGTCCCTTTATGTCTCCTCTCTTCTGCTGCTACTTGTGGGTGACTGTTGGCTGTCTGGTTCACCCGCATATTTTAAAGAGACTGTTAAGCGCAGGAAATCAGGAGCGGTTCAAATGAAGACAGGTTTACTGCACGCTAAGACACTCTGTAGGAATCTGAACTAGTGATGGTCAAAGCAAATCGGAGGTAGAGAAGAGTCAACAGAACTCAAGGTGGGTCGGGCTTGGTTCTCCTGTGGGCGCAAACGGACTCGAGACTAATGACATGCTTGACTCCTCCCTCAGGCTGGTTGTTTCCTACAGACACGTCTGTGGAGATTTTCAGTCATCCAGGTTATGGTTGCCAGAAAGTCCAGTTGCCTCTTGAAAAAGCACTTTTGGGACACCTACAAGCACCTTCAGTCTTGCATTAGGCCTCTGAGCTTCTGCTTCAAACCCTTAAGCTCCTAGGACTAAGACTTGGTTTAACTGTGAGATAACCTAGCCGATCCTGAGCTTCCCAAAGCCTTCCCTTCTGATTGTAGGTTAAGTAAGGTCCACTGCATTTCTTGAAGTTCATGTTTGTCTTCCGATGAGTGGTTTTCAGAGTGGGTGAGATGCGGTGGCGGGAATTCACACATTGCCGGGAAACACTACTTTGGAGTTCACATACAGGAAGGAAGGCAAGGAAGGCAAGGAAAGAAGTAAGTAAGTAAGTGAAAGGAACAAACAGAAACAGGAAGGAAGGAAGGCATGAGAGAAGGAAGGAAGGAAGGAAGGCAAGGAATGGAAGGAAAGTAGGAAGGAAGGAAAGAAATGGAACAGGAAGGAAGGCAAGGAAGGAAGGAAGGCAAGGAACGGAAGGAAAGAAGTAAGTAAGTAAAAGGAACAAACAAACAGGAAGAAAGGAAGGCAGGAGAGAAGGAAGGAAGGAAGGCAAGGAATGGAAGGAAAGTAGGAAGGAAGGAAAGAAATGGAACAGGAAGGAAGGCAAGGAAGGAAGGAAGGAAGGAAGGCAAGGAACGGAAGGAAAGAAGTAAGTAAGTAAAAGGAACAAACAAATAGGAAGAAAGGAAGGCAGGAGAGAAGGAAGGAAGGAAGGCAAGGAATGGAAGGAAAGAAGGAAGGAAGGAAGGAAATGCAGGAAACACAGACAGGAAGGAAGGAGCCTTGATAGTACAGTGGTCTATGCACCCTGTTATTAACACAGCTGCCTGCAATTTACTGCTGGTTCGAATCTCTCCAAGGCTCAAGGAAGACTCAGCCTTCCATCCTTTCTAAGGTAGGTGAAATGAGGACCCAGTTTGTGGGGGCAATAAGCTGACTTTGTATAAATATACAAAAGTATGAAGGCTATTGCTTAACGCATTGTAAGCCGCCCTGAGTCTCCGGAGAAAGGCGGCATATAAATCAAATTTAAAAAAAAAAAAAGAAAGGCCGGAGAGAAGGATGGAAGGAAGGCAGGGAGTGGACGGAAAGGAGGAAGGAAAGAAATGAAGGGAACAGAAAAAGGAAGGAAGGCAGGAGAGGAAGGAAGGAAGGAAATGAAGAAGGAAGGAAGGAAATGGAGGAAAGGAAAGCAGGAAGGAAGGAAGGAAGTGGAGGGAACAGAAACAGGAAGGAAGGAAGGAAGAAGGAGAGAAGGAAAGGAGGAAGGTCTTTCCCAAACAAAGCCAACCAAAATTTTGATACGAAATCTCAGCAAAATCCACTCTTTTCCGATCCTTTTTTTTTTTTTTTTTGGGTGTGTGTGTGTGTGTGTGACTTTTTGCACTTAAATGAGGTTAACTCTTAGTTAACTCTTTGTGAGGCTCCCTCTTCCATCAGATAGCCAAGCGAGAGAGGGAGAGCTGTGGCATCCATGGGTGGTGACCCTCCTGCCCAAAAATACCACATTGCCCTCTGGGTATCCAATTGTCTTCGGGGCTCGGGGGGGGGGGGGGGGATTTACTACCTGCCAACCTCCCTGATGCTCAAGAACGTGGGAGAAGGAATTCACGCAGTTCTCTCTTTCACGTCCGTGTGCACGAGCGCTAGTCAGAAATCTCTCTTCCCTCCCTCCCTCCTCTCCTCTCCCCACCCCACCCCACCCTCAGCTGAGCCGATGCACCAACCGCGTGTTGAAATACGAGCTGATGCGCGCGTCGAACAAAGTCCAGCTCTTGGTGTTGTGCGAGGACCACAGAGGGAGGATGGTGAAACATCAGTGCTGTCCTGGCTGCGGCTTCTTTTGCCTGGCGGTAAGCATGGCTCAGTGGTTAAGACGCTGAGCTTGTCCATCTGAAAGGTCGGCAGTTCAAGCGGTTCGAATCCCTAGCGCCGCGTAATGGGGTGAGCTCCTGTGACTTTGTCCCAGCTTCTGCCAACTTAGCAGTTTGAAAGCCTGTAAAAAATGCAAGTAGAAAAATAGAGACCACCTTTGTTGGGAAGGTTGGCAGTTCGGCGGTTCGAATCCCTAGCGCCACGGAACGGGGTGAGCTCCCGTTACTTTGTCCCAGCTTCTGCCAACCTAGCAGTTCGAAGGCACATAAAAAAAAAAATGCAAGTAGAAAAAAAAATAGAGACCACCTTTGGTGGGAAGGGAACAGCGTTCCGTGCGCCTTTGGTGTTGAGTCATGCCGGCCACATGACCACAGAGACGTCTTCGGACAACGCTGGCTCTTCGGCTTTGAAACGGAGATGAGCACCGCCCCCTAGAGTCGGGAACGACTAGCACATACTGTATGTGTGTGGGGAATCTTTACCTTTTTAAGCATCGTAAGGGAGGCTGGATAGCCAGGGACAAAACACTCATGTCCCTTTCCCAGAGACAGTGGCCACGTGGGTTCCCTCTTTATTTGGGCAACTGATAAAATAAGAATAATGATTTATTTTAAAAAAATAAAAATATCCTGGAATGCAGACAGGCTGAGTGGATTTGATGTCCTGGTGGCCCCAAACACCGTGGAAACAAGCTTTTTCCTTAAAATTAAGGTCCTTCCTTTACTGCAGGAGCCTGCAGCCTTAAACACTGAAAGAGCCATTTGGACCTGTTTCCCACAGAAAAAAAAACACAGGGAGCCAGAAAACCTGGGTGGGCGTGGCCAACTCCACGTCACTCACTCCCACCCAGTCACATGACCTAGGCACGTCTACCCAGCCAGTCATTAGGGCAGGGAACCGGTTGTTAAAAAATACTGGGAACCACAAAACCCCCCCCCCCCCCCTCTCTCTCTCTCTCTCTGTGTCTCTCTCCCTCCCTCTCTCTCTCCCCACTCTGTCTGTGTATATCTGTTTCTCTCGCTCCCTCTCCCCCCTCTCTCTGTCTCTCTCTCTTCCCCTCTCTCTCTTCCCCTCTCTCCTCCTCTCTCTATATTTCTCTGTCTCTCTCTCCCCCTCTCCCTCTCCATCTTCCCCCTCGCCCTCTGTATCTCTCTCTCTGTGTATATCTATGTTTCTCTCTCTCCCTCTCTCCCCCCCTCTCTCTGTATCTCTTGGATTTCCAAGGCCAGGCGAGGAGTGACTGGGAGGGGAGGGCGAGGGGCGGGGCCAGCCAGTAATGGGACAGGGAGTTGCAGCAGAGGGCCAAAAGAGCCGCATGCGGCTCCTGAGCCGCAGGTTGCTGACTCCTGCTTTATTGGAAGAGGACGATATTCTTCAGGATAAGCTGTCCTGAAAGATGGTGTCCATTCCCTCCCTCTCCTTGAAAACCAAAACAATTTGGCTGAGGGAAAAAGAGAGCCCAGATGAAACCTTGGATTCTCAAATTTGGACGCATCAAAGGGGGGGGGGAGAAAACTGGGAGCTTCGTTGGCACGGATTGGTCAACCGACAATGCAGGAAGAGTCGGGCTTCAAAAAGCTGAAATGTAGCCTTCAGCAGCTGAGCGCCTCCCAGGGGAATTAAAAAAAAAACCCGCGAGGACCCCTTGAGCTCCGAGCACTTCTTCTTTCAACACTTTTTTTTAAAAAAACAACCCAGGGCTGTGCATTTTCCCAATTGTATCTTTATTCTCCCCTTTAAAAATACATTCTTCCTCTTGGCCGTGACTTGATAGTATTACTGTGTTTCCCCAAAATTAAGACCGGGTCTTATATTAATTTTTGCTTCAAAAGACATATTAGGTCTTATTTGCTAGTTAGGTCTTATTTTGGGGGGAAATACGGTACTAAATGCACCCATCTGGCTGACGATCTTAACTGGGTCTTATTTTGGGGGGGTAGGGCTTATATTACGAGCATCTGAAAAATCATGTTAGGACTTATTTTCCAGTTGGTTCTTATTTTGGGGGAAATACGGTACTAAATGCATCCACCTGGCTGACGATCTTAACTGGGTCTTATTTTGGGGGTAGGGCTTATGAGCATCCTGAAAAAATCATGCTAGGGCTTATTTTCCTGTTGGGTCTTATTTTCGGGGAAACACGGTAGGATGGCCAGACTGTAGGACAATTGCTGTGCTTCCCCCCCAATTCCAGGAGAGTTATCTATGGAAAATTCTCTAGTCTAAAGTCAAGTCAAGTCAATGTTTATTACAGTCAAAGACCAGGAGATTGTCAGCCATCCAGGTCATTGTTGTCCCAAAGGTGCTTTTTCCAAAAGGCAACTGGACTTTCTTGGGGTTGTTGATTTTTTTTGGTCTGGAAAATGTTCTACTTCTCATCCAAGAAGCTTCTTGGACAAGAAACGAAATGTTTTCCAGGAAAAAAAAACCAAGAAATGAGGCATTCTGGGTGCTCTCTGAACTTGGTTGTTTTTTCTTGCAAACTAGGATTAATAACGTTACCTAGTTTGGGTAATGAAACATCTGCAAGAAAGCAAGCAGAGAAAGCACCAGGGACCCTACGCTTGTCCTCCTCCTCCTCCTCCTCCTCCTCCTCCTCCTCCTCCTCCTCCTCCTCCTCCTCCTCCTCCTCTTTACCCTTTTCTCTCCTCCATAAAGCCCACTCCCTTCCAGCACTGATGACATTACCTAGATGGGCTGCGAAACGCCTGCAGGAAAACCATCCACCACCTAGTTCACAGACCACCAAGGACCCATCATTTCCATCCTATTGAGCTACAAATATTCTCCTTTATTAAAACCAAGAAAGTCCAGTTGCCTTTTGAAAATAAACACCTTTGGGATTCCAGGAGAGTTGACACGCACATCATCAACCGAGCACTTCCTAGGCAGTGGGGGAATTCAATTTTTTTTACTACCGGTTCTGTGGGCGTGGCTTGGTGGGCGTGGCAGGGGAATGATACTGCAAAACCCCATTCCCTCCCCACTCCTGGGAGAAGGATATTGCAAAATCCCCATTCCCTCACCACTCCTGGGGGAAGGATATTACGAAATCTCCATTCCCTCCCCACTCCTGGAGGAAGGATACTGCAAAATCCCCATTCCCTCCCCATTCCTGGGGGAATGATATTGCAAAATCTCCATTCCCTCCCCACTCCTGGGGGAAGGATATTGCAAAATCCCCATTCCCACCGCACTCCTGGCGGAAGGATACTGCAAAATCTCCATTCCCCTCCCCACTCCTGGGGCCAGCCAGAGGTGGAATTTTCCGGTTTCCCGAACTACTCAAAATTTCCGCTACCGGTTCTCCCGAACCTGCTGAATTTCACCTCTGTGCCTAGGACAGAATGAGAATAGGGTGGGAGCAATCGCGATTGAGAACTTTTCACAAACAAAAACGGGGAACATATCTTATCTAAAAGTTGGTTCCTCAAGTTTTCTGGATTTACGGACCGATGGGGGAGGGAATGGTTCTACGCAAGCGACCCGCATACTTGCCCCCCCCTCCCATTTCCATGGCCCAGTTGCAACACTGCTTTCTCCTTCCTGGCTTGAATTCCTCTCTCAATTTCTTTCCCTGGGGCTGATTTTTGCCCGTTGTGTTGCCATGCAGTCATTCTGCAGGCAATTCATAGCAAAAAAAAATAAAATAAAAAATTAGAACACCTAAACTATTTCTGTAGGGAAATTGTTCCACTGATGAATTGTTCTAACTGTCAGGAAATTCCTCCTTAGTTCTAAGTTGCTTCTCTCCTTGATTAGTTTCCATCCGTTGCTTCTTGTCCTGCCTTCAGGTGCTTTGGAGAAGAGGGTAACCCCCCACTCCTCTGAGTATCTCCTGCACCCCAACCTCCAGCCTATGCTTGCTTGGACTCATTGCTTCGCCTGGTTCTTCTTTTATAGGCTTGAGAGTTTTGCAAAGTTACTTTTTTTTTTTTAATGCATTCTTAAAGTGCTTTTTCTCCCTTCTGGTGGGGGCGGGGGAAGTGAAGGCCCATCTGCTGGCATCAATACACTAAACCGAAGTTTTTTTTGAGGTCTGGGTGCCAAGTCTTGCATTTTTGCTTTTAGAGATGCAAGAAGACTACAGCAGAGCTAAAACCAGAAGGGGCCTTGGCTCATATAAGGGACGGCAGCCCCAGCAGTAAAAGTTGCAGATTGTTTTGTGGCTGTGATTGGTGAGGTTGGCAGGCATATAACTGCCTTCCTCCAGTCCCTCTGTGCCTCGGTCTTGAAACTCAACCCCCCCCCGCCCTCCCCATCCAGCTGCTCCCCGGCATCTTTCTACGCCCCCCTCCTTCCTTTCTCTGTCCTGATTTTTGGAGTGAAGTTGTGCAGAGGGAAGAAGCGATCTTTCAGAAACAGAGGAAGGTGTAGCTTATCTAAAGCCTTGTTGTGATTCTCCATCCTCCAGGTCGTGGTTGTCCCAAAGGTGCTTTTTCAGGAGTTTCTTTTTTCTTTTTTTTCCCTTTTGAAGACGTTTCGCTTCTCATCCGAGAAGCTTCTTCAGCTCTGACTGGATGGTGGTGGTGGGGAATGGAAGGATTTTATATTCCTTGCAGGCAGCTGGCCCCTTGCATCCTTTGAGAGGGTCGTTGAGGCCACTTGGAGGTTTATCTGTGTCCTCTAAAAGGATGCAAATAACCCGCTGCCTGCAAGGAATATAAAATCCTTCCATTCCCCCACCATCCAAGTCAGAGCTGAAGAAGCTTCTCGGATGAGAAGCGAAACGTCTTCAAAAGAAAAACCAGGAAGTCCAGTTGCTTCTTGAAAAGGCGCCTTTGGGACAGAACTGGAGGACGGAGAATCTCGACAGGCTTTTAGCTATGCAATTTGGGATGAACACCCTTGGAATGGGGTGGGAGTAGGAATGGATTTCCAGAAGGGGGGGAAAAAATGCAGATTACAGGAACCAGGCGCGCCACTCAGGTGACCCTGAGGACACAGACAAACCTCCAAGTGGCCTCAGTGACCCCTCTAAAAAAGAATGCAAATGGCCAGCTGCAAGGAGTATCAATCCTTCCATTCCCCACCATCCAGTCAGAGCTGAAGAAGCTTCTCGGATGAGAAGCGAAACGTCTTCAAAAGAAAAACAACAACAACAACAACCAAGGAAGTCCAGTTGCCTCCTGAAAATAGCACCTTTGGGTGCAGCTTATCTCTCACAATTTGACAACTCGGAGGCAAGAGAACCGGCGTCCTTGGGAAGTTCTGGGCTTCCCCCTCCTCGCTGGTGGTGATTAAGCAAAGTCTGGATTGCCATCTGTTAGCAAAGCCTCCCCGCATTGCAGATCCTTCGTGGTGTGGGCAGTTTGAACCAAAGACCTAGAAGTTCTTCGCTAACAACCCCGATTGTTTGCTCGGTGCCGTCATGAGCAAGTCAGGGTAAAGTTGCCCGTTTCTTGCTCCCCCCCCCGAGTCCTGCCAGTCTTCCCATCTTTCCCTCTCTCTCCCTCCCTCCCTGGCCCCCTAATTTGAGACCCATACCCATTTTTCACTTCCCCGAGTGATGTTCTCTAGCCTCTGCATACAGGAAAATCCTGGACTTAACAACGGCCCGCTTAGTGGTGAGCCTTGGTGGTGCAGCGGACTAAGTGCTGTTATGTAGCACTTAGTTGCCAGCTGCCTGCAATTAGTGCGAGTTCGATTCTCAACCAGGCTCAAGGTTGACTCAGCCTTCCATCCTTCCGAGGTAGGTAAATTGAGGACCCGGATTGTGGGGGCAATAAGCTGACTTTGTAGACACACCGCTTATGGGGGAGCCAAAAGCCCTAATAAGCAGGTATATACAAAAAATGAAGGCTATTGCTATAAGTGCATTGTAAGCTGCCCTGAGTCTTCGGAGGAGGGCGGCATATAAATTATAAATAAACAAACAAACAAACAAACAAATAAATAATAGTGACCATTCGAAGTTAACGCCGGCCCTGAGGAAAAGCGACTTGGGATCGTTTTTCACACTTAACGTTGCGGGGTCCTCCCTGCTGTTACGTGATCGGAATTCAGTCGTTTGGTGACTGATTCACGGTTAGGATGGTTGCAGTGTCCCGTGGGAGGCGGGGAGACATGATCCCCTTTGCCGCCCTTCTAACCAGCCAAGTCCAATAGGGAAGCTAGATCCGCTTAGCAGCCGCGGGGCTAACTTAACCGACCGCGGTGATTCACCTCGCCGCCGTGGTTAAGAAAAAAGCTGTAAAAACGGGGCGAAGCTCACATAACAAATGTCTCGCTTTAGCAACAAAAATGTTGGTCGTAAGTCAAGGCTTTTTTTATTATTATTATTTTTTATTTTTTTATTTTTATTTTTTTTTACCCTTTGCAATTCCTTCCAGGGCGCTTTCATGGAGTGCCAGCCGGAAAGCGGTATCTCTCACCGGTTCCACAAGGAGTGCACTTCCCACGTCAAAGGCATGAGCTACTGCCCCCATTGTGGGGAGGAGGCCTCCAAGGCGAAAGAGGTCACGGTGGCCAAGGCGGACACCACCTCCACCCTGCTGCTGACCTTGGAGCAGAAGAAACCAGGTGCTTTAGAAGGAAAGGCTGACACAACCACTGGAAGGTAAGTCACAGCTTTCCCCACTTGTTTGAACCTTCCCCTTCCTCCCTCCCTTGCAAAGCAGATTGATTGGAGAGAAAAGGATCGCAAGAGAATACACTGTTTGCTGTTCTGCACATCAAAAGGATCGTGTTGGGAAGTCCGGGACTGGGAGCCACAGATACACTACGCAAACAGCTTGCAGTATTATCTTGAAATCTCCTGGTCTCCACTATGTGTGCGTGGGGTGAAGGATGCGATTTTTGTAGGCAATCTCTCCTTTGTCTGATTCTTCCCCCTCCACAATGCAGAACAGAGAAACGAAAGGGATTTTAAGAGAGTAAGCTGTTTTGTTTTTCTACACATCGAAAGCAGTGCAGTTGCCCTGGCAGCAGGAAAGGAAAGTTGGCCTACAGACATAGTTTGCTTTTGTTTTCCGCACCCTGGCTCGCAGAGAGAGAGATTGGAGAGAAAGGGATTTGAAGAGATTGAGCTGTTCGCGTAGTGTACCTGCGGCCCCAGGCTGCCAGTATAATGTGTAGAAGACAATAAGCAGGCATTCAAGCATCCCAAAGGGTGGAGGTGTGGTGAGGAGGCAAACAAAAATTGAAAGTGTGAAACTGGGTAGTCTTGTATCTTTCCAGTTGGAAAGTAAGAGTTGTGATCGCGTGATTTCCCATTTTAGGGACTGCTTCATTTAGCAAAAAAGACGTGTGTTGCTTGACTATGGGATTTTGTCCTCTTGGGTTCAGTTTCAGCGGCCCTGCAACCCAGCAACCGGAAGAAGTGAGAAGTGAGAACTTGTCCACCGAGGTGTTCGATTTGGCTGGGACATCGCTGTTTCCTAAGCCACCTCCAACTGGTTTACCCCAAGGGCCAGTTAAAGAAACGTTGGAGAGCGCCTTGATTGCCTTGGATTCAGAAAAGTAAGTGCAAACTACCCGTATTTTTTGGAGTATAAGATGCACCTTAGTTTTTGGGAAGGAAAATAAGAAAAAAAAAATCTGCCTCCGCCTACCAGCATCCATCTGGCTAGCGTCCTGTCAGTGTGTGTGTGAGAGAGAGAGTTGAGGGCTGTTTGGAAACTGAAACAGTGTGAGCCACAAGGAGACAGCAAGGAGCCTGGGCGTGGCTTAGCTACACTGTTTTGTACTAAAGTTGCATACTATGCTGATCTCTGAAACTAAAACTGAAACTTCTCTGCTTGTGTTTTGCTTGTATTTACTACCACGTTGGAAAACCTGCTTTTGGTATTGTATATTTTATATTATATATAAAGAGAAGTTATCGAATCCTGCTGAATCAGTTACATGTGTGTGCTTTCTGGATGTGATTGCTGATGCAAACTCTGACACGTCCTTGCAGCAAATAGCAAACAGCCAGATCAGCTTCAGCACATTATTGCATCCTGATTCAGCACGAGCAACTGATTGGCGGGTGGATCAGCCTCCTGGAATACCCCCAATCAGCTGTTTCCAGGCTGCAGGGATTGCCACAGACCATTGCCGCCTCCGTGCTTCATGTTTTTGGCTACATTTGGTATATAAGACGCAAATTTTCACCCTCTTAGGGGGGGCAAATGTGCGTCTTATACTCCGAAAAATACGGTAAGTGGGTTGGGGCTTCTGTTGTCAGGACCATGAACTCTGGAATCACGGAAGGTCAGGATCTCCTGCGTTGGCTCATTCTCCAGACTGCCCTGATTAAGTTGACCACATCCAGCTAAGCTAATCAAATATCGACACTTTCTTGGTGGGAATCAAAGTGAAATTCTTTAGGGGAACTCAAAGAATCCCGTGTTTTTGCTTGCTTGAAATTAAACTCTTCCTCTGCTTTCGCAGACCCAAGAAATTACGATTTCACTCGAAGCAGCTGTACTTCTCAGCCAGGCAAGGGGAGCTTCAGAAGGTCCTCCTTATGCTGGGTGAGTAAAATTCCTCCTCCCCACCACACCCCCAGCATTTAACAACGCACATTGCAACTAGAAGAGAGTCTCGATTTGAGGGATGGGATCTTTAGACTGCGTTTGTCTGGAATGGTATAGATCCGTGATGGCGAACCTATGGCACGTGTGCCACAGGTGGCATGCGGAGCCATATTAGTGGGCACGCCAGCTCAGCTCTGGGGCGCATGTGCGTGCCGGCCAGCTGATTTTCGGGCCTTCTGGGCCCACCAGAAGTAGGGAAACAGGCTGTTTCCTGCCTCTGGAGGGCCTGGGGGTGGGGTGGGGAAGGCCCGTTTTTCTTTCTTACCTGGCTCCAGATCCTCTCTGTATCTGGGAAGGGCAAAAACAGCCTTTCCCACTCCCTTGGAGACCCTACGGAGGCTGAAAGGGCCCATTTCCCGACTCCCGGTGGGACAGGAAGTGATGTTTTTTCCTGTCCCTAGCCTCCAGAGACTCCTAGAGAGGCTCCTAGAGACTCCTAGAGAGATTCTGGAGGCTGGGGACAGCAAAAAATGTCACAGGTGGCTTTCTTGAGGGTGGGGGGCCTCTGCTGTAACTTTGAACAGTTGCTAAGCAACTGGTCATAAGTCAAGGATTGCCTGTAAAGGAAATCGGGTTTTGTCTTCTCCCCCTTTTCCCCTCCCACTCAGTGGACGGGATCGATCCCAACTTCAAAATGGAGCACCAGAGTAAAAGGACGCCTCTTCATGCAGCCGCAGAATCGGGACACGTGGAGATCTGTCACATGCTACTTCAGGTTCATCCTTAATTTATTTATTTTTTTTTTAAAAAAAAGTTTATTTCCTAACCGGGGGTAGCTCCTATCCCTTCCTAGAGAGCCAAATCAATCGGGGATATTGAGCGTCTGTTTCTTTCATTAAGCAGATGCTGAGTTTGTTCCAAAAGCAATCAATATTACTGATTACCAAGCTCCCTCTAGATCCATAATCCTTGCCCTGGCTATTGGCTCCAGGGTTGAGGAAGATAAAGGCTGGGGTGGAATCAGGTAGCCTTCCAATTGTATAGGCAATAGGTTGCTTCGTCTGGATCAGGGGTCAGCAACCTGTGGCTCTGGAGCCGCATGTGGCTCTTTCACCCCTCTGCTGCGGCTCCCTGTCACTCCCTGTCACTCAAAATTGGCATCACAACCGCCAATGTGCGACACCCACCGGCACGTGATTTATTGAGCTTTTCAACCCCCGGTAGGCCAACCATGGATAAATCCAATGGACCAGCACTATGGATGGTTGGGGTACCAGCTCAGGACCATGGATTGGGGTACCAGCTCAGGACCATGGATGGTTGGGGTGCCAGTTCAGCACCATGGATGGTTGGGGTACCAGTTCAGCACCATGGAGAGCTGCCTATGGAATCCCCAGCTAGCTGCCAAGTTCTTTGAGGATGGCTTAGACTGGCCTACTTGATAGACCTGTTGGGAGGAAAGAGTAGAGGTCAGAGAATGCTGTGCATCTCTTGGGCTTCTCGGGGGAAAAAAAAAAGCGAAAGAAGAGATAGCAATTCCACAACGGCAATGTTTTTATGGGTTCTGTGCAGCCCCGGAACCCATAAGTCACTTTTTGTAGAGCAGGTGGTAGTATCTGCACAACATCCCTAAGCCACAAACTTAGCAAATCTCATTACATCCTAGCGTGAGTCATGAACCTGACCAAAATGTTGGGTTTAAGCAGCTTGGCTTGTTGGCAGTATTAAAAAAAAAATGCTAACTGTGGTTCTTTCTTTGTGTTCTGTGTTCGCACGGTACCTCTGTACAGGCTGGCGCTAACATAGACACCTGTTCTCAGGACCAGAGGACTCCCCTTATGGAAGCAGCAGAGAATAACCATCTGGAAACTGTGAAATACCTCATTAAGGCTGGAGCATTGGTAGACCCCAAGGTAAGGCTTGGTTTGTTTTCTTAAACTTGGTTTCCAAAGGAGCCACACTGGGTGCAATTCCTGGTTTGCAATCCGTAAATGGTGCATTCTCGTAACCTGCCAGGCCAAACGCTTTTCACGTTAGCATCAAGTAGAAACACAATCATCAGTTGAGTTGAAGATCTCACAGTTGCACTGCTGTTGATGTAGGTGTTCAGCCCTAGATTCCTACCTACCAAATGTAGAACAGAACAGAACAGAACAGAACAAAAGGACAGAACAGAAGAGAGAATTCAATGGAGCGGAACGGAACAGAATGGAAAGGACAGAATAAAACAGAGTGGAGTAGAAAAGAAGAGAAGAGAATAAAATAAAATAGGAAACTTTATTGTCACTTTAAATATACACGAATTAGTATACATTAAAATGAAATTTTGTCCCATTCAGCTCTCAAAAGATAACCATCATGCATATACCCACATACACACATATATATGACACAGAGAAACTTCTAGCTTGAATGTATACACATACATGGCAGGGGGAAAAAAAAGAATCCTGCGAATTTAGAAGACGAATGACCTAAGGATCAAAGCTTTTACAGAATCTAGTAGTCCTGCTATAGATACTTTGAAACCCCCTCCCAGAGGGAAGCAACAGAAACAGACCATGAAGTGGGCATGCGGGGTCTCCAACAATGTTTCCAGCCCTAACCACATAGCCCTTATAAGCAGCATCCTGAATAACGGGAAGTGAGCTCCCTATAATCTTCTCCGCTGTCCTCGCCACTCTCCGTAGGGACTTTCTATCTGAGGCACTGCGGCCATCAAACCAAACAGGGATGCAGTTTGTTAAAACGCTCTCAGTCGTGTCTCTGTAAACAATGGCCAGGACAGAAGGGAGAAAGATGAGAGTTTGGATGTGCAGCTAATGCGTTCGAGATGGTTTTGCAGTGCCGCTTAATACTTTTTAAGTCAAGAGCTTGGATTTCAATCTCTTGACTCTCGTAGCAATGGCACTGACAGCGTCCAAAGCAAGCTGTTGTTAAACAGCAACAGAGCACTCCTGCTGCTACGCAGGGCAGCTATGAAATCACTTTGCCAGAAATTATATGGCCAGCCAAAAACTATCTGGCTAAAATCCAGAGGGTTTCTGAGCTAATTTATCACGTCATCCATGGTGTCAGGTTTTCCTCACCTTCTAATTCTCCCCTCCCCCGGCTCCGCTGACCCCCTCCACCTGATTACCTGTGTTTGGTTTAGGATGCTGAAGGATCCACCTGTTTGCACCTGGCAGCGAAGAAGGGCCATTACGACGTGGTGCAGTACCTCCTGTCTAATGAACAAACGGACGTCAACTGCCAAGTGAGTGACGTTGCTTCTTGACCGGGACCGGCATTTGTCTGGCTACCCATTCCTCTTTTGGTAGAACAGCTAAAACATGACTTTTTAAGTTGGTAGGAGCTGGAAGGGACCTTAGAGATCTTCTAGTCCAGCCTCCTGCTCAAGCAGGAGATCCTCTTACCACTTGAGACAAGTGGCTGTCCAAACTTTTCTTTAAAAAGATGGAGCCTCCACATCTTAAAGCAAGCTGTTCCACCGATTAATTGTTCTCACCATTGGGAAGTTTCCCCTTAGTTCTAGGTTGCTTCTCTCCTTGATTAGTTTCCATCCATTGTTTCTTGCCTTGCCTTCTGGTTCTATGGAGAATAAGTTGACCCCCTCTTCTTCGTGGCAGTCCCTTAGATAGCAACAGCACTTAAGACTTACTATACCGCTTTACAGTGCCTTACAGCCCTCTCTCTAAGCATCAGCCTATTGGCCCCCCCCCCCAACAATCTGGGTCTTCATTTTACCCATCTCAGAAGGGTGGAAGGCTGAGTCAACCTTGAGCCTGGTGAGATTCGAACTGCCAAATTGCAGGCAGCTGGCAGGCAGCAGAAGTAGCCTGCAGTATTGCACTCTAACCACCGCGCCACCGTAGGTTCATAGATATTCAAAGACTGCTATCGTATCACCCCAGTCCTCCTCTTCATTAGACTTAAAAAGGTTCCCCTCGCACATCTGTGCTAGTCGTTCCCAACTCTAGGGGGTGGTGCTCATCTCCGTTTCAAAGCCAAAGAGCCAGCGCTGTCCGAAGACATCTCCATGGTCGTGTGGCCAGCATGACTCAACGCCAAAGGCGCACGGAACGCTGTTCCCTTCCCACCAAAGGTGGCCCCTATTTTTCTACTTGCATTTTTTACGTGCTTTCGAACTGCTAGGTTGGCAGAAGCTGGGACCAGTCATGGGAGCTCACCCCGTTCCGCGGCACTAGGGATTCGAACCGCTGAACTGCCAACCTTTCTGATCGACAAGCTCAGCGTCTTAGCCACTGAGCCACCGCGTCCCAACCTTTACCTTCATTAGACTTTAGACATACCCAAATCCTGCAACTCTTATGGATACACGTACAACTGATGTTCCTTATGGGTTCTGGTGGCCGGGACTCCAACCCCCACCATCCTTTCCCCAATTGCCCAGCTTTCAGGAGGTGGATGGGAGTCAGCCCAGAAAGGCTGTGGCTTATCTGTCCCTGCTTTGCGATCCGTTCTAGCCAGAATTAACGGAGCCCACGCATCCTTCTCGTTCTCTCATGCTCGCAGTTGCCTTGCAACCAAGCCATTTCAGGTTGTTCTCTGAGTCACCGAAAGGACATCTCTTCCCCCTCCTTCCCCCTCTTTTTTTTCCCCTGACTGTTTGGCCTTCTCTAGGCCTCTCCACCAGAATCGGTTGAAAAACAGCCTGATGTGGTTGCAGGAGAGGAACATGGCCTCAACTTCCCAGCAGTCTGTTTGTGGCCTCCTTGAGCCCTTACAGCGTGGGCTGGGCTGAAAATAGGGGACTGGCAACGGGGTTGCCCGTACGCAGCGTGGTTACCATGGGTGGTACAACGCATCACCAAGCAGCCAGCGACCGAGAAGCAAACAATACCCTAATTTAGAAACTTAACAAGAGAACAGAAAACGACAGCCCAATCGAGAAACCGCCGAGTCCATTCCCACCAACATTTGACAGGTCATATAAAATAAGAGCAAACCCTACTCCCTTACTAGCACTGATGATGTTACCTTGCTTGGTAATGAAATGTCTGCAAGAAAACAACCGAGCCCAGAGAGCACCAAGGACCCCACAGTCCTCCTCCTCCCCCCTTTCTCCACTTTATGAACCCCACTCCCTCCTAGCACTGATGATGTTAACTAATCAGGTCATGAAACATCTGGAGGAAAGCAACCAAGCTCAGGGAGCACCCACAGTATTGCCCTTTCGAATAGAATAGAATAGAATTTGTTTTTTTTTTATTGGCCAAGTGTGATTGGACACACAAGGAATTTGTCTTGGTGCATACGCTCTCGGTGCACATAAAAGAAAAGATAACATTCGTCAAGAATCATGGTCCAGCTTTCAGAGCCATACATTGCAACTGGGAAAACCATAGCCTTGACTCTATGCACCTTCATTGGCAGGGTGATGTCTCTGCTTTTTAGGATGCTAGGATCCATCTAGACCAGTGATGGCTAACCTTTTTCCCATCGCGTGCCAGGAGGAGTGGGTGGGGGAGGTTCGCGCATGCTCGTGCCCACACCCATGATTCTATGCGCCCCACCCTGCGCATGCGTGCGCAAGCCCCCCTCGCCCCCTCTGCTCCTGGCACACGATGGCCCGGTAGGCCTGTTTTTCTTTCTCACCTGGCTCCAGATCCTCTCTATGCATCTGGGGAGGGCTAAAACAGCTTTCCCCACCCCTCACCCCAGGCCCTCCGGAGGCAGGAAACAGCCTGTTTCCCTACTTCTGGTGGGCCCAGAAGGCCCATAAATCAGCTGGCCGGTGCGCGCATGTGCGCCAGAGCTGAGCTGGCGTGCCCACTGATATGGCTACGCGTGCCGCCTGTCACACACGTGTCATAGGTTCGCCATCACGGATCTAGACTCTTGCAATCCCCACTCCACCCCCATACCATAATATTCTACCTCCAGGGTAGGCAGTGCCCTGTCAGGCTTTGGTATCCACTCAAGTGTTGTTCCTTTCTTGCCAAGGATGACGGAGGCTGGACGCCGATGATATGGGCTACGGAGTACAAGCACGTGGAGCTGGTGAAGCTTCTCTTGGCCAAAGGCTCTGACATCAACATCCGAGATAACGTAAGTTGGGCGGGGTGGACACACCTCTCATTTGAGGGACCAGCCAGCTTAGATGCAGAGAACCTGGATTTCATCAGAATCTGAGAGCAATTGGAGAATCTGTGGAGGTTTTCGGTCGTTCAAGTCATGGTTGTCTCAAAGGTGCTTTTTTCCCCCCAAAAAGCAACTAGGCTTGGTTTGTTTTTCATGGAAGACGTTTCGCTTCTTGTCCAAGAAGCTTCTTCAGTTTTGACTGAATGGTGGAGAATGGGAGGATTTATATTCCTTGCAGTCATCTGGTCGTTAGCGCTCCTTCTGAGAGTCATTGAGGCCTGTGATGTTTCCCTGTGTCAGATATGTGTGTGTGTGGGTATATGCATAAGGGTTCTCTTTTGAGATCTGAATGCAACGAAATTTCCTTTTAATGTAGGCTGATTAGGGTACATTTAAACTGACAAAGTTCTGTTCTAGTCTAGTCTTCCCTTCTTCTTTTCCTTTCCTTTCCTTTCCTTTCCTCTCCTCTCCTCTCCTCTCCTCTCCTCTCCTCTCCTCTCCTCTCCTCTCCTCTCCTCCCCTCCCCTCCCCTCCCCTCCCCTCCCCTCCCCTCCTCTCTCTCTCCTCCCCTCTCCTCTCGCTGTCTTCCAAAGAGTGGCCTTTGTTTTTGAAACTGACAAAGTTCTGTTCTAGTCTAGTCTTCTCTTCTTCCTTTCCTTTCCTTTCCTTTCCTTTCCTTTCCTTTCCTTTCCTTTCCTTTCCTTTCCTTTCCTTTCCTCTCTCTCCTCTCCTCTCCTCCTCCCCTCCCCT